CTACGACAGTAATTGACTAGATAATTACCTTCTAAACTTATTCCACTGAAAATGTGACAGTGGGTTTTTCCATTTTGTAGGAAGGTCCAAGTGGCGTATTCAAAATTCTTAACAGTTCACTAAAAGTAGGTACTTCAGTTGCAAGGTGCAGTTTATTGTGTATACTAGTGTTATGGAAAATTTGGAAGTGCCGTGTAAACGCCGAAAAATTGGTCCTTTAACACGTAATGAAAAAACAATAATATTTAATTGTTTTAAATCATTTACAGACAAACGTTTATGTGAAAGTGTTGATGAGACCGTTGAGTTAGTTAGTAGTACACTTGGTGTTGGGAAATCTACGATTTACAGAGTTATTAAAGAAGAGAAATGTGGTAGTTTTCAAATGCCACGTAATGCACCAGGGAAACCAAAATTTCAAATAGAATATCATTTTAAAGAAGGACTTCGACGGAAAGTGCATGAATTCTTCTTTAGACAAGAATTTCCAACATTGGATAAAGTTCTTGTCTCAGTTCGAGATGATAATAATTACCCAGAAATGAGTCGAAGTACGTTATGGAAACTTTTAAAAGAAATAGGCTTCCGCTGGAAAAAGAATCCCAGAAAGTCTATTTTATTAGAAAGAAGCGATATTGTCGTATGAAGAAGACATTTTCTAAGAACCATAAAGGAAATGAGAAACCAAAAAAGAAAAATATTTTATCTTGATGAAACATAGATCAACGAGGGTCATACACCAAATAAATTTTGGCAGGATGAAACTGTTACAAGTCAAAGCACGCTTTTGTAAAGGAAACAGCCTGCGTCCCTTTCCTGCGTCCCAGGAAAGGGACGCAGGCTGATAATAGTACACATTGGCAGTTCAGACGGTTTTGTTGAAGGTGGTTTATTAACTTTTGAATCAACTCGTACCGGTGACTACCATGAAGACATGAACGCTGATGTCTTTCAAGAATGGTTCGAACAAATGATAGATCTTCTTCCTAAGAACTGTGTAATAGTAATGGATAATGCAAGTTGTCACTCCAGACTTATAGAAGGACTGCCCACAACCAAGTGGTTAAAAAAAGACTTGCAGAATTGGCTGAGTTCAAAAAATATTACGTACCATCCCGGATCTATAACAAAGGAACTTTATTCGTTGTGTGCCCTTCATAAAGAAAAATTTAAAAAATACGAAATTGATAAAATTGCCAAAAATCGTGGAATGACAGTACTTAGCTCCCCACCATATCATTGTGAATTAAACCCGATTGAACTGGTATGGGCACAGATAAAGAGTGAAGTTTCAAGAAAAAATACCACTTTTAAAATTCATGATGTTAAACAGTTGTTTTTGGAGGCCGTAAATAATGTAAAACCTGAAAACTGGGAAAAGGCAGTAAATCACACTATTAAAGAAGAGGAAAAAATGTGGAAGCTGGACAATATTACTGATAAAATGATCGAGCCAGTTATTATAAATCTTGGTTCTGAAAGTTCATCTTCTGAATCCGATTTGGATTTGTAACAAGTAGCTGTAAGTTTTATATTAATATTTTTATTCATCTATTTAACATACCTTAGACGGTTTTAAAAACTCTTTTTCTCTTTTGTAATTTTTAAAAATTAAAAAAATGTGAATTTTTTAAAACCCTTTTTAATGTAGGCCAGTCAGTTCTAATATAGTGTGTGATAAAAGAGGTCACTTTTGTTTACATACACATAACACTTTATAACACTGAAATAATTCATTTATTTTTTACAATTATTCAAAGTAATTTTTCAATTAATCTTGAGCACGCCCATGGAGTGGTCGAAGGTACCAGTTAAAATTATGCTAATTACTCTCTCGTTCATAAAAATAAACTATAAAAGATTAAAAGTTCAAATTCTGAAATTTTTATAGCTGAATACATGTGATATTGTTCCTATTATCACGCAAAATTAAAGTTTTCTGTGCACTTTTATAAAAGTTAATAAAACTTTTCAAGAAATCGTCTTTTGTAGCTATTTTTGTAGTAATTAAGCAACAAATTAACAAAAATAACTTTCATTTTGAAGGATTTTCTATGCCTTTTCAGTAAAATTGTGTAACTTTTCCATATAATTTACCATTAGTATTTAAAATCAATAATACCGATCTTAAGTTGTTTATATATTGGGTAAAAAGAAATAAATAAGACTTACTCACAATCAGTTTAATTTAACTACCAAGACGCCGGTTTCGCTTTATACAATTTGCAAAGCATCTTCAGGTCAGTCGGTACAAAGTACTATAAATAATTAAATGCGGAAGATGCTTCGCAAATTGTAGAAAGCGAAACCGGTCATCTTGGTAGTTAAATTAAATTGATTGTGAGTAAGTCTTATTTATTTCTTTTTACCTATTTGAAATGCACTCACAAAGGCTACACATTCATGTATATATATTTTTTTATGTACAAAATGACAATTTTGTATTGTATAAACACCAAATTTATCAAAAGCAGTTGTTAGATACCTGTATCAAAGAGGGTTACGAAAAATACTGTTTATTTACTAATTTTTCTGGTCTATAAGGATTATGATGAACTATAAATAATTCTTCATTAAAAAATCTTTGTCAACTAGTGAAAGCTTCTCTAATAAAAACGTAGAATGTTTTTTTTTCTTGTTAGAGCATATAACGGGCCAAATTACTATGAGAGAACTTTATTGTCTTAGGTCCCACCCTCAAATCTACGCAATTTTACCCGTCGCATCTCACAGTACTACTAAAGCTTTATTTATGAATAAAAAATCCATTAAATCTTTGGTTTTTAAGAAGGTACTGAAGCAAAATTTAAAGACACTTTGACCAAACTCGTAACACATGTTAGAAATACAACTAAGACATGTCTAATCGACACAGGTCAGTACTATATTGATCTATCGTCATCATACATATAAGTAGTGTTAACGTAACAATTAGATATTAAGTTCTATGTACATAGTGAAGATTTCAAGAAAAATCGTCAAAAGCAACTGAAAACTAAGCAGTTATAACGAAAGCTTCAGTGATAGTTTCTGAGAAAAAAGGTTTGCTACTATTTTATCAATTGTTCTTAATTGTATATAAATACTTCACAATTTCATGAAGGACGTCGAAAATAGATTGTGGTGTCAGGAAACATCCATGTTGTATTTAAAATATTATTTGATAACTTTCTTATTAATATAACTGCCCATTATTCAGATGCACAATTTAGAATTTGAAATATTTTAAATTTGGTTTTCAAAAACATGCATAAATTTGAATATTCCAGAAGAAATAAAGACAACAACAATAGTTTGTGCATAGAAAAATAAATATTATAATAATAAGCAAATTAAATCATGTCCCAGATACCATTACGTTAACAAAACGTGGACTAGTAAGACGAAATCATGAAAGAATTTATAGACCACCTTCCAAAAACCACGAATTTTACTAATAGTTTCTATAAATATTGATATAATAATAAAATTTATAAAAGCTTCATATGTAATTACTATTTAAATGGAAATATGCCACAATTAAAGGATAAAGCAAGTTTATTGACGCTTCAATTTCCACTTCGGAAATCGTTCTCAAAATACAAACAGTAAATTAAATAAAGTTTGTTTTTTTGTTATTTGGTGAAAAATTCGTCTCATAATTTGATTTTATCTGATTCATTTATATTGACAATTCAGACATACATTATACATTTTAGAGTAGACGACTTTAAAATGATTTTGCATCCGTTCCTGGGACGACTTTACTTGTAAGATAGTTCATTCGATTACATGAAATTAACTTTAACCCGAGAATATTCGCCAGAAAAAAATTATAGCATTTGAAAAAAATATAGCTTTAAAAAGACAACCACATGCCATGATGACAGTAAAATTCTCCTGTTAGTGATTCCATAGTAAACTATGAGGAAAAAACCTCATAATACTATCCCGACATGGTAAATATTTGGTAGTACATTCAGTTTATTTTCAATAAACACCAAATTCTAATTTTATACATTTGTTATTTAAAAAACATAAATTATGTACCCTCGATATGTCACTGACTTACTAATACTGGTATTTTACTTTTAATAGCTTCCTCTTTTAATATGGGTAACCAGATCCTACTACGTTCTGCCGAGGAATTCTGGCTTATTCCTATTTAAATAGTAATTACTTTAAGATGCAACAAAAAAATAGCTTCAGAACAATATTAAAACAAAGCTGTTCCCTGGACTCATAAACTTTTGGAAGGTGGTCACAATGCACCTACACAAAAAGAAGGATCTCTAGACCCTATCAAAACATTCCAGGAACAAATGAAGCACATTTAGGTGAGGAACGCAACGTGGATATGCGTTATCATTCCTCACTCTACAGGTACAAGATCTGTTTTAGCTATTTCTGCAACTCTTTCAACCAATACCTAGCTGGTTAGTAAAAAATAGGTGTGTTAGAGGAAAGTAAAAAAAGAAAAGTCAACTCAATAGTTAGTTTATTCAAGTAAAATACAAGTTAAATTGACAATTTCGTTTAAAGGATATGCCTATCTGTACATACTTGTTTTTCTGCTTATTTATATTATATATAATTGTTAATAAACCCTTGGACCAATAACCAACCCAAACCATATTTTTTTTGTAATTTTATATATCTTTTAAGATATCTAAGTTACTACTTATTAGTGATTATAACAATGTTTTGATAATTGACATTTATCAACTGACACATGACAATTGCCATTACATCAGCCGACAAATGACATGATGAATTTGGGAGCTGACAAATGACAACTGACACCTGATAAATGACAGTTGACATATGGCAAACGCCATACTTATATAATTGATTAGTATCATTACTATCTACTTTAAGATTAATTAAGGTATATACTAAAACAGATCTTTCTAGATCGACAATCTCGCTATATAGTGCGATAGTTTCGACTACCACGTACATTGTTGTAAGAAATGACCAGTCCGGTACAAAAAATGGTTGTTATCGCAGCACTAGCGAGATCAAAGAGCCTGGCGTTTACGGTTTGTGTCTAAACTTGTCCCAGGAATTATGAAAACGCTTTCATAGTCACGGTACGATTCGGATTCAACCGTCCTACAAGAAGACAGTTCTTTCAAATTTTGGTAAAACGATCGAAAATGGTTGAAATGTGGGTTGCTAGTGGTGACTTCGATGGTATGTTTTTTTAATTTGTTGATTATTGGAAGTTGTATTGGGCCGTATTGAATTATGTTATATAAATACAGTATTTCCATAACAGATAATGAATGGTTACCGATATTAATTTAATACTTTATCCGATCGTTTTGTCGGTCGGATTAGTTTAACAAATCGAGGCAAAATCAGTCACTTGATGCACCTCAATATGATCGGTTACTTTTACGAAGGCATGATATCTAAAATTATTTTATTGCACGAAGGAAATAATTCATTATCTCCCGATACCCACCCACGATATTATCCGCAATTTTAGATATGGAAGAAAATTGCGCCACGGTCAAACGATTTAATTTTACACAAGTTTCACTGTATTTTTAACTCCACTCAGAACTCCTTATTTCTATTATGATGTTTTACCAATTCTGTTATTTGCATCCAAGAAGGGGCTTTTTTGACCTAATCATTGGTACTATTCAGTTCTAAAAACGTTAAATGTTGCTAAATATTTTATTCAATATATTATTGTTGTTACCAGTTTTGTCTTATCAAATAAGGTACTTTAAAGTAATGTCATAGTTATTCCGTTACCGTAATTTAAGATGAAGTTTACCAGTTTATTTTTGGGATTCTTCTTCTTTTTCAAGTGCCATTTTCGTTCCGAAGGTTAGCGATCATCAGGGCTATACGTATTTTCGAAACTGCTGACCGAAATAATTCGTTCTTGCTACAGCTATACCATTTCCATAGATTATTTAGCCCGGAGTTACGTCTTCTTCCTATGGACCTTTTTCTTGCTATTTTCCCTTGCATAATTATTCGAAGCAGTTCATATATTTCGCCTCTTGTAATGTGTCCCAAGTATTGCAGTTTTCGTTTTTTGATCGTAAATATGACTTCCTTTTCTTTATTCATTCTTTTTGAGACCTCGACATTTGTGACTCTCTCGGTCCATCATCTTCTCAGGATTCTGAGATACATCCACAATTCAAATACCTCTAATTTTTTTGGTATCAATCTTTTTCAACGTCCATGACTACATTCCGTAGAACAGCACAGAAAGTTCGAACATCTCATCAGGCGAAGTTTCATTTCAAGGCTCAAATCTCTTCCGCAGAACACTCTCATTTTAGTGAATATGGATCTGGATTTTTCTATTCTTATTTTAATTTCTACTGAGCTATCTTTGTCTTCATTTATAAAAGTATGTAAATATTTGTATTTGCTAACTCGATCGATAATTTCATTGTGTAAATATAAATTTTGGACATTTTGTGTTGATTTCGATATTACCATAAATTTAGTTTTCTATATGTTCAAAGATAGTCCATATTCTTCGCTGTAGTCTGCTATCTTATTCACCAATGTCTGTAGCTCTTCAAGCGTTTCTGCGATCAGAACGGTGTCGTCGTCAAATCTCAGATTGTTTAATCTAATACCATTTATTTTAATACCTACGGATTACTCAGAGAGTGTTCTATTCATTACGTCTTCGGAATAGAGATTAAACAGTGTTGGTGACAGTATACACCCTTGTCTCACACCTCGCTTTATTTCAATTTCTTCAGTGGTATTATTCTCTACTCTCACTACTGCTTTCTGATTGTAGTACATATTTGCTATTAGTCGGATGTCTCGTTCATCTAAATTCTTTTCTGTCAGGAGTCTGATTAGGTGATTATGCCGCACTTTATCAAAGGCCTTGTTGTAATCTATGAAACACATGAATACATCTTGATTTATGTCAAGACAACTTTGAGACATAACGCAAACAGCGCCTCTTGTTCCGAGTCCATTTCGGAATCCAAACTGGGTATTATTGATGTCCATTTCCAGTTTTCTGTGTACTCTAGAGTGTATAATTTTCAGGAATATTTTCAGTACATGGCTCATCAGACTAATTGTACGGTAATCACTACATTGTTTGGCATTTATCTTTTTTGGTATAATAACAAAGGTGGATAAAAGCCATTCTTGTGGTATTTTTCCTGATGTATAAATGCTATTGAAAAGTTAAGGATTTCCATTGGTATTTCATCTGGACCTGCGGCTTTACCATTTTTCATTCTTTTTAGTGCGTATATTACTTCCTCTTCCGTTATTTCTGGACCTTGTTTGTTCCTGCAACTGCTCTATTTCTTCACATTTTCTTTTATAAAAATCTTCTTTTGCTATTCTGATTTCTATTTTGATTTCTTTCTGTATTTGTTTATACCTTTGTTCGTTTTTTCATTTCATTATTCTCCGATTGTCTATGAGAAGAAGGATCTTATCAGTCATCCACCTTTGCTTTATTTTTGGTTTTTCTTTAGTCAGAATTTTCTTCGCAGGACCTGTTATCGCCATTTTTACGTTTTGCATTTTTTATCTACGTTGTTCGTTGGCTGAGATGTTTCTTTTTCATGAAGCATTTTTGAGATTAGGGACTTTTTAATATCAGGGGTCTCGTCTAACCGACAAGACGAGTCCCCAAGCTGAATCTCAATAGATCGCAGCGTGGAAACTGCTAAAAGATTGATCCCACCGTAAACCGATCGTCTCGACGGAAATCACTAGTGCGACAATCGTAGCGAACTACGATTGCCTAGTAAAGTCATATTGTTTTAAGCCTTTCGACTCTTGGAACTCCAAGAGATATTACCACCTTTGACTAGAAAGGATACGGCCTTAGAAGCGTTCAGGCATAATCCCACGGATGGTATCTTCGCACCACTACCCACTCGAGTAAGTGCGTCAACCAAATGTCCAAACCTGCGGTTCCTCTCGTACTGAGCAGGATTACTATCGCAACGACGAGTCATCAGTAGGGTAAAACTAACCAGTCTCACGATGGTCAATTTTTTAGGAAACTATTTTCTTTCAAAACTTTCTTATATTACTAATAAGTTAATTATTAATGTATTTTCTATAAATATTTTAACGTAACATATTTTGTTACATTTACAATTTTACGGCTAGATTCAACTCTTTATATATAGCAATATATAGAAATATTTTGAAGCAATTTGAAAATAAATAAATAAAACTTTTAGTTCTACATTAATGATAATCGATCGATTTTCTAATACGATATGACCCAATTACAACATCAAATAATTAACTCAGTGGCGATTTTCTGCCTAAAATGATCATGTGGCACACCGCTAAAACGGCGAGCGTCCCAGAAGTTTCTGACCTATTTTAAATTGAAATATCTCTTGTCTGAGAAGCAGTAGAATGGTGTGGTTTTCACTGAACAGTTTTATTTTATAAAAAGTTCGATGTTTATTCCGAAGGGCTTATATATCGTATATAGCTTGAAGTTTTTATACCCTTTTTGAGGGTGGATATCACCAAAACTTCTAACGGAGTTTAATCATTTAAAGATAGCATCCTAATATTGGTTTACGAGGTTAAATGAAAAAATACGAGGTCTGTCCCAGAAGTATCGTAGCTTCGTTTATAATTTCACGCAATTAGTAATTCTTAATTTTTTTTAAGACTTTTCTCTATTCGGATTGCCGAATATAGGCCTCTCCTAATTCTCGCCATTCATTTCTGTTGTTTGTAAGACGTTTCCACTTTTCTAAGTAATTCTTAATCAATTTGCTTTATTCATCATATAATTTTACTGATCACGGATTTTGGAAAAAAATATACGACAGGGCAGGCATATTTTATATGGACCACAGAACCTTCAGGTCGTCATTAAGCAAAATTCCTGCGAAACCACAAATACTACATCAACATCAAGTGGTACTGTAAAACTCTCAAACATGAACTTAAAGATAGGAACATGAAATATGACCAGCATGTTCGAAGCAGGAAAAATCCATAACATCGTCTGGGAAATGAACACTCGATATTGACATTCTAAGAGTCAGTAAACCAAAATGCCCAGGTACAGGACAGGAATCTATTTCTCTGTAAGAAATCATGGCCAACACATACTTAGCGCAGCCTTGTTATTCTCAAGGTAACAAACGATTCTTCTTCCTCTTAAGGTGCCGTGTATTTGTGCGTAGGCGTCCACCGTACATCGTCTTGTCAGGTGAGATGTTAAATATTCTGGATTAAATAATTCTGTTTTTAGCAGCATTGCGAAGCATTTCATAGCTGTGGATTCCTGTCCATTGTCGAATATTGCGCAGCCATGACATTTTTTTACGTCCGAGACCCTCCTACCCTCTATCTTCCCTTCGAGTATCAGTTGCTGAAAAGTGTATCGTTCTCCTCGTATTATGTGCCCCAAGTATGCAGTCTTCTTACTTTTTTACATAATTAAAAAGTTCCCTATCCTGTAAGCCCGATCTTCTGAGTACTTCCTCATTTCTGACCCAACAAACGATGGGCAGAGAATTAAGAAATAATTCTAGGTATAAGCTCTAAAAAGATTACGTCATGCAGTAAGAAGAAAATAGCCCAATTTTGGGCGAGTATTCAATGGTTTCTTTATCACGGTAGTGCACCAGTAATTAAGTAAACCTTGTGTCACAATTTGAGGAAACAGAAGGTTATATAACTCCAGCCAGTATTTGAAAAGTTTCAACTTTTTCGTGTATCTATAACAATGACAGAGAAGATTCAAACGAGTGCAATGGTGGCACTAAAAACTATTAGAAAAACTGAATTTCAGAACTCATGCAGTTATTTAAGATACTTTGTAATATGCCACTAACTGGATGCTCAAGAATAAAGCGTTGCGAAGTTATGAACTAAGGTCAGATACTTTTAAGACAGATTTCGCTTGCAGTTTCTTATTTTCAAAATGTCTTTTGTCAATCAAAATGTAAAATAAATAAATCTTTTGATATGATATTTAACTATAAATGAAATATTTAGTAAACACTGCATCTTGTGGTTGCTTATTCGACAGATATTTCTAGTTAATCTGGTTCAGAAATTTTTGGATGTCCCGATACTTTAGAGTGCGGTTGAAATGTGGATGATAATGACACATTTTAACTTTCAAAGCTTTTCATATCGCTATGTTGAAGTTTCCATCAAATTAATTTTAATCGGATGGAGTTGTAGCTAGTTGATGGATAGCCGACCTATTTAATTATGGAAACATTTTGGCCATAATCAATTAAATTTTATGATATGGCAATAAATAATAAACTACGTGTTTTAAATTTAATAGTTTACATTCTTTAGAAGATGGAGTACGCTATAAATCGTTTAAATTAAATACAGAATCAGTTCCTGCCTCTTCTGTAATAAGCAACTTGCAAATTACATACAATAGTAAAACATTAGTATTTAGGCATACAAATCTTTTTACGAACAAAAAAGTCATGTCAGTCGAATACTTGTTTTAGTAGACCACAGCGATCAGAGTCAGATGAAATTGATGATGTCGTCCTAAATGAACTTTGTCTTTTGGTGTGATTTATAAAGAGATGAATTTGTAGATATTGTACTAGTGTCAAGTCAGTTTTCCTAATCGATGAGAAATAAATATTGAAAATTGATATAATTCATCCCGGGATTTATTTTTGCTTCGATGAGCGAATAATATTCTTTGATAACAACTTTTTTTACAACTGTCTTTGTAGGTTATGTTGATGAAACAGATGAACAACAGTTTAAAGTTTTTTAAACGTTTTATAGCATACCCAGCTTTCTAAATCATCTCATATATATTATTTTACATTGAAAGTTAATATTGTTAGATACTGTGCGATTATGATGTGCAATATTAAAAGTTTAGACTCACTTTTTCAAAGGCACTTGACTCTCTGTGGCGTTTCCTCCATTTCTGGAATCCGTTATTCGACATGCTACCATATTGTAAGCTGAAAAAAAGAAAGAAAGAAAAAGTTTAGCCAATTTATTTACTACTAGAGACATTTGGCTTAGATACAAAACGACAACAACGCTTGGTCGCAAGTAGAAAGGACTAGTTAGTATGCTTATGTATCTACAAGAAACTTTTCTTAGGCGTTTCGAAACATAGACAGTAGAGAAATCTATATTCACATTTATTTTCTGCATGTGATTAGGGCGAAATAGTTTCTTGGCGATAAACCAATATATTTATAGACCGTCCGATTTCAGAAGAAGTTCCTCCACCATTTTAACTCTTATGACTTTGAGAGTATTGAAAGATAAAATCAAGGAGAGTAATGTATGTGATCACTGTATGGTAACAAGAGGAACTTTTCTTTAAAATTAAATTTTGTTTTGGAAAAAAGACTTTCTTGTTTAAAAAAAAATTTCCTGGACAGATGGAATTACTACGAAACACTTTTTAATTCATATATGGCATACTGTCAACATTCATAACTAACATAAGCTGATCAGACCACCATCTGATCAGCTTAATGAGCCAACTGCCTTAAATATTCCTTCTCATACTTGATACAAGAATATTCAGAGAGCTGAAAGAGCTAAGCAGCGAGACGCAATTTGGTTTAAAGAGTAAAATCGGTACACATGCAGAAGCTTTCTGCTTGAATAAGCTAGTATAAAACTGCACGGACCAACGAAAAGATATTTTCTCGATTATGAAAAATCGTTTGACACCATAAAACATGCCCCAATGATAAAAATGCTACACAACCCTGAGATTCACCAAAAAGATATAAGAGTTATCCAGAATCTTTACTAGAATCAAAAAACAGGAGTGAGACTGAACAAATGAACCAACTAAGAGAAATTTTTAAATTTTAAGAGAGGTACGACAGGAGTGTATTTTGTCTCTTGTACTGTTCAACTTCTATGTGAAGAATGTTTTCGCAGAGGGACCGCTGAGTGTACTTCTGAGTGCGGTATAAAGGTCCACGGGTACCCAATATGCCGACGACACCGGAATAATTACAGATAACGAATATGGCATTAAAAAAAACGCACCTATAAGAGCATAACTGCAAATACATAATACTCCAATTGAGCAAGTGAGCACATTCAAATAGTTGTGAATGATGGTAAATGATCAATGCTATAGGATGGTTAAATGCTATGTGTGGTCCATATTGTTATACGGCATGAGTACATGGACGTTGAAAATATCCTCCATGAACAATTTGAAGGCTTTTAAAATGTGTGGCCTTCGAATAATGTTCCACATACCATAGACTGGACCATGGACACTGAAGGAGAATTGCTTAACTTGATCAAAGTACGAAAAATTGGATACCTGGGCCATATCCTGAGAGCGAAAGATATGCAATCATTCAACTAAATATCCAAGAAAAGATTGAGGACAAGCCAGGAGTAGATTGCAAACAAAGGTGGTTACAGAATATGAAGAAGTAGGCAGACGAATGTGTAATGGTTATTGCCAACCTTTATAACTGGAGTACGAACTAGAAGAAGAAAAAGGACAGACATAAATAACACTAACGAGCTCTGTCATGCCGCGAAAAATAGACGTCTGACCTTAGATTATTCGCTGATGCACTAAAGGTGCTTCTTCTTCTTCTTTTGAAAATTCGTCTTTATTTTCTACTTTTTTTTTAAAGCATCTGTGTATTCAATCTGGTCCAATCATGACAAATGTTTTTCAGCCAGGATATTTGTCATCTACCAGGATCCCTTTTTCTTCAATTCTACCCTTCATAATCAGCTGCAACAACTCGTATGTCTCATTTCTAAGTATGTGCCTTAAATATGATGTATTTCTTCTTTTAATGGTGGTCAAAAGTTTTCTGTCTCTTTTCATTCTGTGCAAAACCATTTCGTTCGTAATATGATCGTTCCGTGGTATTTTCAAAATTCTTCTAAAAAGACACATCTCAAAAGCTTTCGGCACTATAAGATGGAGATGTTGTAAAATGGAAAACAAGCGGTACATTAGTGATATAAAACTATAAAATCAGCATTTTTAAAGCGATGCAGAAAGCAAGGAGAAACTGGAACTTCAACACGATGACCCCCAGTCTGCAGTTGGCCTTTGATGGACGAAGAACCACTTAAAACTGGAAAATCCAAGTAAAAAAGTCGTTAAATGTACAAATACGTGGATCGTCTTTAGTCTATGTATGGCTATAAAGCTAGATAATGTGATCAACGAAAAGTATGGGACACTTTGGCGAGGCAGTGTGACGTCACTGTCGGTAAGCGTTGAATCTGCATCACCGGCCGGGCATGAACCTTAGCCAACACCGAAATCATTTGTCAACTGGCAATTCTTCTTTTCCTTATATAATGTCAACTGTCAATTCTTCTTCTTTTCCGTAGCTTATGAGATAATAATAATAAATGTACAAGATGTTGAAGAAGAAGGCCTTACAGCATATGAAACATCAACTGAAACAACGCGGGGCATATAACACAAGCATTAATCAGATCATAAGAGAATACCTACAGTTGAGTTTCTAGGAAAAAGGAAAATACCAATATGAAGAAGGCACATTCTACTACTCTGGTAATTACCTACCAAATCTCTTAAATGACGTCGGTGTAATACTAAGGGAAAATCTCAATCGATCTGTGATTAACTTCATCTCAAATTCCGATAGAATAGACCTTTTGAAATACTATCGGAAAAATAAGCCAACTTTAATGTTAGACACCAAGATAGAAAAAGGCAGAAAAAAACGAAAGTCGAAAATGTTCTTGGTGAGTATGGTTTAGGAGAACGTAATATGCGGGGCGATATCTTCATACAATTCTGTCAATAAGAAAATTGCATCTTAACGAACATTTGGATTAAACTTCTATCCATAGATTTTCCACTTACAGTCTCAGCAGCATCTATCTATATAAAGCCCTTTATTCGTCCGTTATTGGACATACACCTCTCCTTTCTGTTTCCATTTCCCCCTACCCTGAGCTATGCTCGTTTATCTTGTTCTCATTTATGTTCTCTGATGTCATATCCTTGCGACATATTGAATTAAATATCGTCACATTTATAGAAGACTCTTCAAAACACCCTGGATGAATTATGTAAGCAATGAGGAGGTCCTTTAAAAGGCTCAATAAAGAATGAAAGTTGACTTCTAGCATAAAAAGAGAAAAACTTTATACATTATTCATGTTATATTAAACAGTGGAGAAAAGTTTTAGAAATTAATGATTTAATAGAAAATACAAAACAAAAGGAAACTGTAAAAACGCAAACATTCGTGGATAAAAATATAAGAGATCGGACTGGTTTGGACTTGCATTAACTGTTTCGAGCTGTGATTGTTGTGAAGCTTTAATGAAAATGGTACGATAAAAAAAAGAAGCAACTGCAACTTGTTTACTATATGCAAGAGAAAAATAAAATTGTATACAGCCAATTCTGGTGCCCACCTTGATTAAAGCAGCTACTTCAAACCAAACCTTAAGAAGACGACGATTATTCATCTAAGTCAGCACGAATAGATTCAATCTGGTGGTGGAACATTCATCCATTTACACGCAATGTTGAGCAAATAAAATTCCTAAATTACAGTGGTCATTGACATGCCGTATAAAAGTAAAAGTAATAAAACGATGAAAAAGATGAAACAGATAATATTTATTAATGTTTCCGTTAACAAATATTTCGTTAATAAATAATAATTTATTAAAGTTTGTTTCATTTCGACCTAGCTTAGTGTTTTGTCATATTTTTCTGTGGATTATTGATTCCATTCGTCAATAGCAGACCGTTTTCAGCATTTGATAAAGTTCTTATGTACAAATCAATTAAGTAAACACTAATTTTGATTTTTTTTGTTTCTATTGTGAACAATCACAAAAAACAATTCGGTCTATTTCGATTGAAACTCAAAAAATATTTAAAACGATTATAAAATTTGATTTGTTTAAAAAGCCTAAACTTTATGTTTCACTCTTTTCATGGATTATTAAAGGCAACAGGTTTCTCTCTCGTAACTAGCGACCGACAATAAACAAGGAATCCACTGAAAGTCGACCTACCTTTTTCTTGTTTCCGTCGTTTCCGTTTGTTACATATTTTGACAGCGCAAACGGACAGAGTGATGGCGACGATGAAGAAGAGGATGCCGCCGACTACGCCGGCAGTGAGGGCTTTGTGCTTGACGCGAGCCGGCACCGAGAACTTTACCTGTTCGCTGGTCTCGTAGCTCTTGCCGGAGTACGCCAGGATGCGGAAGTAGTAAGTGCGTCCACCTACTAAATTTTTAACTGGAAAGGAAAGAATCAACGTTAATTTTATTTATATACATACAAGGCGCTATTTAGTTTAGTGTAGCATAGTTAAAAGTTTTTGGTTCAGTGATGACAGACATAATGTGAGTGAATAACATTTTCAATAGGGAATAGGAAACAAATACCGTAGAATGGGGTGACTTTGATTCTATAAGGTGACTTTGATAAAACATGAATATTTTGTTTCAAGAGAATATACAACCCAAATGTTTCGTCCGTTATGGTGGTTGTCTGAACTTTATTTCAGTGCACATGTTGATTCACTATAGCAAAAGGTGTTTGTGGCCAATATCAAAAGTATGCGGTTGTAAATTCACCATTGAAGTTTTTGTTTGAATTTGAAGATTTTATATTGTGTTACTAAATTTAAACATACAGCTCTTACAATAGAATTGCAGGTAATTTTGGGTATGTCGCCTTAATGTAGGTCTAGTTGTCACTCTTTTAAAATATTTAACCTAACTTATTTCCGTAACTACTCCATGAAATTGAATGATTTCTTATCCGGGGTCACTTTGATACATTTTTCGGGGTGACTTTGATACTTTATTTCTTTTTATAGTATGCTTAATGAAACTTCAAACCGTTAATTATTTTCAGGATTTCGTCATTATCTGCATGAAAAGAAAAAATGCCGCGAGTTTATAAACGAAAGTTTGGATCAAGAAGCTACAAGAACTTCTCTGACGAAACTCTTGAACATGCTCTGCTTCAAATAGTAAACGGAAACTTGTCTGTTAAAGCCGCTTCAGAAAGATTTAAAATTCCGTATGGTACTTTATATAATAAATACAAAGGGAAGCATGTGAAGAAGCCAGGGGGCCAAACTGCGTTGACGGAGCTGGAGGAAAAATCAATCGTGTCCTGCATTGTCAAATGTGCAGATTGGGGATTTCCATTATCGACGCTAGATGTACAACTTTTCACTAAGAGTTATTTAGAAAGAACTGGAAGAATTATCTCTAAATTTAAAAACGGAGTAAGTCCTGGTAACGACTGGGTAAAACTTTTTTTAGAGAGACATAGTCAGCAAATCTCTGAACGACTTGCGTCTAACATTACTAGAGCTCGGGCAGGTGTCACAAAAGAAACGATAGAATCATATTTCAATAATTTAAGAACAACTCTCTCAAATTGCCCTCCATCACACGTTTTCAATTACGATGAAACCAACGTTAGTGATGATCCGGGGAAAAGAAGATTGCTTTATAGAAGAGGGACCAAATATCCAGAACAAATCACTAATCATAGTAAAGCCGCCACATCAATAATGATGTGCGGTGCTGCTGATGGTACACTACTCCCTCCTCATATAATATATCGCAGAGAACATATGTGTGATGCATGGACATTAGGAGGTCCACAGGGCTCTCCTTGTTTAGTAGTGGATGTTGCGCAACAGGAGCTAGATATAACCGAACAAAAAATGGGTGGATAGAGGTAACTTGTTTTACAGACTGGTTTGAGACCATATTATTACCCCACGAAAGACGGCTGGAAGGAAAAAAATTATGATCGGTGACAACTTGGCGTCTCACTTTTCAGATCATGTTTTAGAATTGTGTGAATTGCACAATATTGAATTTGCGTGCCTTCCCAGTAATTCAACACACATATGCCAGCCTTTGGATGTGTCTTTTTTTAAACCCATGAAAGTCTCTTGGCGAAAAGTTTTGACGGAATTTAAATTGCGACACCCAAAAATTACTGGTGTACCTAAAGATCAATTTCCGTCGTTATTAAAAAAATGCTTGGAATTAATGGACCAGACAATTGCAAAAACTGAGTACAAATGTGGAGATTGTGAAAAAAGTGCAATTAAGAGAGTTTTGAAGAATGGGTTCGAGGCTTGTGGCATGGTCCCTTTCGATCCAAATAAAGTCTTGAGTAAGATTACACCAATCAACCATGATGCTGATTATGTAGAACCTCTGATTAACGACAGCCTCACAGACTATCTGATGAATAAGAAATCCGAGATAGAAGTTACTAAACGGCAAAGTAAAAAGAAACTTCATATCCAACCTGGTAAAAGTGTAAGTCGACATATAACGGCAGATGACAGCTCCTCCGATAGCGAGTTAAACAGCTATAATAGTGAAAGCGAAAATGAAATTGAAAATGAAGATTCTGTGGAGGACCAATCATATGAAGATGAGATGAATACAAAACCCTCCCTTGCTGAATTGAATGTTGGAACTTACGTGCTTGTAAAAATTATGTCAGGTAAACAAAAATGTAAAAATTACGTATATGCCGGAAGGATACAAGAGAAATTACCTTTTGACGAATACGAACTCATTGGACTTAAATCACTGGATGAGACCCATAAACATTTTAAAGTTGTGGAGACCGACGTTTTTAACGCTCCTTTCGATGATATCTTAGCAATTCTGAAGACCCCATCGGTTGAAACAAATGAAACAGCAACTACATGTACATTTCCTGGCAGAGTTGATGTTAAAGAAAAATAACTTTGATTTTGTTTCCGTTCAAAATACATTCTTTTGGCTTTTTTTACTATTTTATACTGTTTTACTAATTTGCTAAAATGTTTTTTACCTGAATAAAGTATTAGCTACCTGTAAAATTATTTATTATATACTAATTATTGTGCCTATAGCAGCTGTCAAAGTCACCCCAAAAATTAAAATTGAAATATCTAAAAATTGGCTAGATCGATTTAAAAATGGGTTGACATTGATACCATTACAGTTGTTATGCATCGTCCAAGCCATTTTAAAATAGGGTATCAAAGTGACCCCACATCAATGGGTGATTTTGATATACCATTACTTATTTTTTTTTGAGAAAATCCTCAATTTAAAGATATATATACTAACAGTATAAATTACATAAACATAAGATGAATCCCAATGGACATTTTTCCACATTTTTGGGATCACCCATTCAAAAGTTACGTAAGAAAATATAAAACAAATTAACAAAGTCACCCCGTTCTACGGTACCTAATAAAAACTGGAAAAAAGTTTTCTACAGCTATATGAAAAGTTTTGAAACAATCAACGTGTTAAAGCCGGAGGAAAACAAATTTCTTTATTGTCACTGTCACTATAAAAGAATTGGAACACAAGGTTAACGAGATAAATATTAGACTGAGTTTAGATAGTGAGTAGGTCTAATATTTATTTCTTTAACCTTGTTGAAATGGACTCACACTCTCACTGAGTTGCAATTGATATATCGCACACTGGAAACCAAATTTAAATAGAAACAGTTGGTTGATCTTACAAAATAGGCAAGACTTTATGTAGACACACATAAAAAGTCCATTTTTACTGAATACAGCAATACTAGATGACAAAAAACTGCAGAAATGTGCATGGTTCACATGATATATAATACAAAAGTTAAAAACCGTAGGTTTAAAGATATGACAGTATGTGGCTTTTAGAATTTTTTACATATTGCTTTGTTAAGTAGAGAAATGGGAATAACTCACCTAAGTAATGGGTATCTTCGGGTCTAATTTGAGCTTTGTTTAACGTCTTCCAGGGTCCGTCGGTTTTGTATTTGATGACGTACTGCTCGATCAGTTCGGCTCTCTCGATCGGTGGCATCCACGTGATGAGGAACCCGTTGCTGATCTCGTTCACCGTCAGGTTCCGAGGTACGCCTGGTTTTGGTCCTAACAAATTATTTACGACATCTTGATTTACGTGCAAACACATACACAATGCTACGAGCTACCAAATCACATTTAAAGCGGAGATGCCAAGGTTGGATACATTTGAAATGTCAAGATTAATTGATTTTGTTGATTTGAAATGTTACTATGAAGACATTATTAGCACGTGGCCATCTGGTTTAATTTTATGCAAAAAACAATTTTGCAACAATGAATACATTTATAAATTGTCAATTAGGCGTTTGCACAAACTGATTAAAGCTGTTGGGATTGGGAACAACCAGGTTGATTACTGACATTGGCTGCTGGGGTAGTCATCGTCAGGTTCTTTATCACACTAATCTAATTTATTTATGTCATATTTCTTTAATTCTGTTTTTATTATTATTCTTCTACGAAATTTAAGCTGGTCTCGTCCTTCTCTGATATATTAAGAAGTTCCATGGCTTTATACGCCAAATATTATCTTTTGGGTTTATACATATATGCCGGTTTAGAACGTCCTTCTCCGTTGTCCTACACCTAACTTCCATCCTCTTCTATCGTGACAATCTTCCGTTGATAGATTCCGTTCGCTCATTGACTTTTTTATGTTTTGCTGCCACTCTAGTTTGGGTCTTCCTCGCTTTCTATTCCCTATTGGGGTCTAGTTCAGTATTTTTTTGGGCCATCTAGTATTTTGCATTCGCTCTACGTGTTCGTACCAGGCAAGTTGTTTCTTTTCGATATCCTGAATTATCGTACCTTCTATTCCCATTCGTTGTTTTATATGGTCATTCCTCATTCTTTCTCTTCGTGAGACTCGCATAGATCTTCTCATCGCGTCCATTTCGACTGCCTCTACCTTCTTTTTTTGTCTGTCTCCATACAATAGGCTGCTCTTAACCATTATCTCGTATATATTAAATTTTCTCCTTTTTGTTATCTCCTTGCTCCACAAGATGCCATTCAGACATCCTATTCTCTTTTTAGCTGTAACTATTCGTTTTTCTATCTCTTTCACATCTGTTCCGGTATTGTCGAATGTGATACCTAAATATTCATATTCTTGACATTGCAGAATTTCTTAACCGTTGTCTAACTCCAATTTTCGCTCCGAGAGCCTCCACATAGGTATTTCGTTTTATTTACGTTAACTGTCAAGCCCCATTCCTCATACTCTTCTATCAGCTTTTTAATCATATATTGCATGTCGTCTTTGTCATTGGTCACTATGACCTGATCATCTGCAAACTGAAGAGTAAACAGGTATCTGTCATCTATCTCTATACCCATTCCGTGTATTTTCCTTTTCCAGTTCTTAAGTGCCGCTGCTACATATATTTTGAATAGTGTAGGAGAGATAGGACATCCCTGACGTAGTCCCTTATTCACTATGAAGGCATCTGTGAGTTTTTTACCTATCTTAATTCTTGATTGTGAATTTTCATACAGTTCTTTAAGTGCAGCTATATAGTTGTGATTGATTTTCGTTTGTTCTAATACCTTCCACAGTCTCGATACTGGGACTGTATCATGCTTTTTGTAGGTCCACAAATGTAAGATGGGTTTCCAGATGTCTAGCAGATCTCTTCTCTATGACTTGTTTTAGACAAAATACGTTGTCGGTACACGATCTACCTGCTCTAAAGTCGCTTTGATCTTCTTTTTCTTTCTCTTTATAGTCTTCTTCTTCTATCTTTTGGGTTTGCTGGTATAAAAAAATTCTCATTGATCTTATTCCAGCTCTCATTACTAGCTTTTTTCTTATTATTTCTTTTGCTTTAATTATTTTCCTTGTTATGCATACTCTTATTTGTTACTTCTCTTCAGTTTTGGGGAGATATTTGGCATAAGTTTTGTGCTTAAACTACATGGGATGTCCTAATTCTACCTGAGTTCCCACCTATTTCTAATATTCTTTCTACCTAAAGATTGTTTTTAATATTTATCAAAGCAGATTTTATATTGGCTTACTAAAGAGCTACCTTATTCTTCTTTCGTCGTGTTCTGAGCAATTCGTATAATTTCCCATTGCTGCCAATACAAAGTTTTGATAATACGGAGATCTTTATCATCAATCACCTACCTGTTGCAAAAGACCCATTATTCTGTCGTGGGTGACCCAGTCAAAGGCCTTCTCTTCTTTTTTTTTCCTTTTCATTTTTTTTCATTATGAATTCGCCGTTTTCGTTCTCCACACAGTTTATTTTCCCAGTCACCTTCTCTGAGGTCTCTATCTATCACAGCATTTCCTATGTACGTTTTCCATCTTGTAGCAGGTCTTCCTCTTCGTCTTCTTCCCGGCGGGTCCCAGTACAATATTCTTTGCGGTCATCTGTACTCGGACATCCTTTGTACATGCCTGTATTACTGCAGGGCTCTGTTTTAAGCTTTTTTGTCATTGAGCATTCTACTTTCATTTTGTTCCATATTTCCTCTGTTCTTATTGTATCCACTTTGGTGATTTGTAGAGATCTTCTCATATAGTCCAGTTCAACTGTTCTTATTTTTTCTTTCTTTTGTTTCTATTTGACTCTTTATGATTACAAAAAACCAGTTTACCAAATATTCTTGCTTAGATGGGGAAATATGTTGTGGATTGCAATTTTTAGATTCCTCATGTCTTTCTTTATAGCTTTTTCATCTTCTGTTTCGCCGTGCAATTTATACAAGGTACAGAAGAAGCATAATAAAGCAAAAATCTGAAGTTTGGTTTCGTCAACCAAGAAATCTTCAGATTTTTACTTTGTGGTTTTATTCTCAGATGTCGCTGTAACGCCTTTGTTGTTAGTTATTTTATTACTGCTTCTCCCGACGGAAAATATTTGATTTCACTTTTAGCGCTTCTGTACCAGTCGCTCTAATGAATCCTGGTACAATGAAATGCGTATAAGCGAATATATAGAGGTAATATACGAGAAATCAAACCTTAACTGTCCTTTATTTTATTTCGGTATATTCTTTAGGAGTACAAGAAATTAATTCGCCAAAGATTTTTGCTTAGATGAGGAAATATGTCGTGGTATGCAATTTTTAGATTCTCCATATCTCTCTTAGATCTTTAGCATCGTCTGTTTTACCTTGCAATTTATAATAGGCATAATTACAAGACGCTCAAGCAGATGATCCATGTATAAAAAGAGTATTGGATTGGATGCGTCGAAGTAAAAGACTTTCTTGGTAATACATTAGTGCATATAGTCCAGAATCAAGTGTTAGTAGAGCCAATGAAATTGCCTAATGCTAAAAGATGATCTTCTATATAGAACATTTGACAACAATGATGGTCCAGAATCTAGGCTTAGTTGAATGTACCTAAAAGTAAAGTGTCAGAAGTATTGCGTCAGTTGCATGACGGTGCATCAGGTGGACACTTTGGTATTACGAAGACTCTGCAAAAGGTTCGATTACGGTTCTATTGGGTAAACTGTAAAGATGATGTAAGAAGATGGTGCCGGAAATGTAAACTGTTAGCAACCAGTAATGGTCCAGTTGGTAAAAAGAGGGCGCCCATGAAAGAGTACAATGTTGGTAGTCCTATGGAAAGAGTAGCAATCGACACTTCCAGAGACGAATGATGAAATCAAGAAGCTGCTACCGTTGCATAGGTAGTGGTCAAAGAATTCTTTAGTAGATTTGGTGTTCCCTTGGAGATCCACTCCGACGAAGGGCGAAACTTCGAGTCAACCCTTTTTCAAAACGTTTGTAGATCGATTGGTGTCAATAAGACCAGAACGACACCCCTGTATCCTCAATCAGATGGAATGGTCGAGAAGATGAACCGAATGATGGGTAAACACCTGTGCAGTGTTGGGCCGCAATGTGCGGTTCCAAAATTCAAAAAATTTTCTTTGTCAGGATGTAAGGTTAGGACTATGCCTAAGGATGCTTCAGTGTTACGCTCTCTCACTGCTCTTCTTTATGGCTTTGAAGCATTGACATTATACCAAGTGCATATGAATAAGTTGGTCACCTTTGAATTTTGCTGTTACAGAAGAATCATGGACTCAAAGACTGTCAAACGCAGAAGTTACTAGAAGAATAGGAGATGAAGCTGAAATATTGTTGATTAACAAAAGCAGAAAACTTAAGTACTTAGTACATGTGATGAGAAGGCTAAAATATTCATTATTGCAACTTTTTATGTAAGACATAATTCGAGTAAAGCAAAATGTGGAAAGACCAAGAATAACATGGCTTCGTTGCTCTTAAGTACTTGCAGAGTGGTGTGAATGCAGTAGTGCAGAACTATTTAGAGCGGGAGTCAACAAGGTCCGCATAGCCATGACGATTTCCATCTTCGATAGAAGATGGAAATTGAAGATTTTAAAAATATCTGATATACTCAAAACTATATCGTATTTAATGATAAATATGAAAAATAACTTTAAAAATTTTATATTGTGTGCACATGCTTATGGTGTATTGAAAAAAAAAAATGTGAATTGCAATGTCTGTTCTCGTGCATTCACAAGAACCAAAACTGTCACTCGACCTTGTCCCATTAGGCGTTGACAGCTCAACAATAAGTAACACATAACCAGCACACAAGCTCTACACTAAGTATAATTTGTGGCGTAAAAAGTTATTAAAGACTGAAAATATTACAAATAAAAAGTATTCTAATGGATTCAGTCTACCATTTATTATAAATTGTTATGATCATAAAATGTATGTATTATGATCAAAAACATTAGGTACCGCGTTATTGTTTTATTTTCGGAAAAAACAAATCATTTTTCGCTCTTAATACATAAATAACTATTTTACTAATAGTCCAGGCTGTGAGGCCGCTCCCGTTGGGAAAATGTTTCTGATTCGGTTTCTTCGCGGATTCCGGTTCAAAAATGTCCCCTTTAAACAAATCTGAAGGGTGCCGGTCGAAATTTTTGGGCAGAAAGTGTTTAAACAATTTTTTTTAAACAAATTCCAAAAATATTTTTTTTAATCTAGGAAACGTTTTTTTAGGTTTTTGGGTCATTTTAAACAAAAAAGGTCTCTTGTCGTTTTTCTCTAAAGTTGATAGTTTTCGAGTTATAAGCGATTTAAAGTCTGAAAAACGCGAAAATACGCATTTTTGAGGCTTGAAAACACATATATAAATTATTATTATTGAGGTTACCAAGTGTCTAAATTGTAGTTTAAACATTCAACTTCAAGATTGTGAAGAGTAATCGGGGCTTATTTTAATTTAGACCGTTGTTTTTTAATTGTTAAATATGCGCGTACACTCGATTTTTCAGCCGCCGCGGCTCGGCGCGCTAGAGTGCGCTTCTATCGTACTTATGCATAGTTTACATATACACTTACGCAAAAAAACCCGAACAAATCCTTGAAGTTTATTAACATAGTTTTTTCCATAATTTATTTATGTAGGTATTAATTATTGTCATTGGGCTAATTAAATAAATCAATCATCGCAATGTAATAACCGTATATAGTTTTTTTCTTCTTCCAAATTTGAACAATATAATTATTATTTATTGAGTATATATTTATTTATATCAATTGTAAATTATATTTTTTAAATTATTATTTAAATAATACAATGCAGTAAATATTAATATTAGTAAACTTAATTTTAAATTGCGCGGTGTTTAAAAACAATATACTATCGCAAAAATGCAAGTTTTTACCTGTTTAACAATCGCGCGCTCATACTTGATTTGTTATTACTTAAACGATCATTAGGAAGACTACTTACCGAAGAAAATTTAGTTTGTATTTTTTGTAATAACATCAACAATATTAAGTTAGTGCAAAAACCTAAAGTAGATTTTTACAGAACAATACAAAATGCTGCTCTTCGACGAAAAGACAGTGTGACTGAAAAATTTAATTTAATCTAGCCAATATACCTTGTACCTCTGACGTACTTTACCAACACTTGTTAAGAGCTTTCGCTAAAACATATATTTGGCGAAATGCCATATATTCCCGCTATCAAACTCTCGATTTTACACAATATGGATATTATATGTCTGATAGTGGTGGGTTGGGAAACCGTGCAAATGCAAAAAGACTTGCAAAACTAATGCTTGCAACTGCAAGAAAAATCATGTCAACTGTGTACCATTATGTGGATGTGATTTAGATTTTTGTGAAAACAAAGATACTTTTACTGAGTGATATTAGTGTGTTATTTAACAATCTTTTGTACAATTATTTTATGTAAATATTATTAGACTTTAGATGAATAAACATACTTAACAAATAAAAAACAACGGTCTAAATTAAAATAAGCCCCGTTTACTCTTCACAATCTTGAAGTTGAATGTTTAAACTACAATTTAGACACTTGGTAACCTCAAAAATAATAATTTACATATGTGTTTTCAAGCCTCAAAAATGCGTATTTTCGCGTTTTTCAGACTTTAAATCGCTTATAACTCGAAAACTATCAACTTTAGAGAAAAATGACAAGAGACTTTTTTTGTTTAAAATGGCCCAAAAAAACTAAAAAACGTTTTCCAGATTAAAAAAAATTATTTTTGGACTTTGTTTAAAAAAGTTGTTTAAACAATTTCTGCCCAAAAATTTCGCAAGGCACCCCTTCAGATTTGTTTAAAGGGGACATTTTTGAACCGGAATCCGCGAAGAAACTGAATCAGAAACATTTTCCCAACGGGAGCGGCCTCACAGCCTGGACTATAATGTTTTCAGCTTTTTTAAATAGATATATTAAAAAAATCACATCAATATTTTTTCAAACTGAATCACACTTTTAAACAATAAAACAAAAAATCAAGATGAGAAATATATTTTTCATTTCTAAAGTAAACTGAATCTCTGACGGTAATAAACAATCACGTGGCATCTCCGTTATATGTTAAGAAACTAAGACTTTCAAAAAATTTCTTGAATAAATTGGTTAAAACTTTTTAGCGTTATTTTTTAAATTTCACTTTCAGGATAACCATTTATGTACATATATTACACAAAAATTACTTTCAACATGTTACAAAAATGAGATTTTCGCATGCGTCTTACCCGCATCATCGTTGGGAGTCATAAAAGGTGTGGGTGTAATTTTTATGGGTTTCTGTTGTCCGACTTCTATCCACAGGAAGCAATAAAATAATAACAGAGTTAGTTACAATACAAGAAATATTAATTAGTTAAAACATGTTATTTGAGGTTTATAGATGGTTAGTATGTACATATTTGCTATTGTGCAAAAACACTTCAAATGTCTCGAAACTGTTGATAAAGATCATACACCGTCCAAAATATAAATTCTGCAACTTAAATCATCATGTCAACAATGTTTTGGAATTTAATTATAATTAAATTTGAAATTAAATAAAATAACAACACGACTGTTGCAAAGTAAAATAAAACTGTCTAAAAAAAATCTGTGTGATAATTTCTGAGCCCAAATTTATTACAGTTGAGTCAATTTTAATTCTTCATTATATTATCCAATCGTCCACATTCTGGATTTGTTTTTATATTAGAGCCAAAAGGAAAAGCAGTCACATAGTGGTGTATAAACTTACAATGTGGTAATTGCCCAAAAAACTTCCGTCAAGCTGGTAGAATCTTTTACAAACGTACAAACAAACAACTATTGTTACATTAGAATAATGGAACCCCGTAAGTCCAACATTATTCTTAATTGTTATCAATAGTTTTATTCATAAAATTAGAGCGCCTATTAAAGCCAGTATTTATGTAGACGACATCGACTTTTATACTAAATCAAACAATATACAGTGATGAGTGTCTTACCACCCGGCTTTTTAACGTAAGAGATAGAAAACACAGTTACCTTGTGAAATAAAAAGAGATGAAACTCGTAGAGGTGGGAAATATTCGATAGAAACCTATAATTGACATTACATGGCATTACCACTATCGATAGTCTCACACCTTTAGACGTTGGACGTGGCTATTTGAATTCAGTCATAATTATACGGATAACCTCGAAAATATTTTATTTTAATAATTTCTGATGTTAGAATAAATAATTGAATAAATTAAGATATATTATAGTAAAAAACATTAATTAGTAGCGATTTTAAAGTTTATTTAATAATAAAAATAACTCAACTGAAATATTTGGCTAAAATAAGGGTAGGTATGTTCTGTCCGAAAACAATTAATTTATGTGGAGTTGGTATAATAAATAGAGATGTGGTCTATTGACAAGAAGATTCTGGTTCAATTCACACAAAGGATAAAATTTTTGTTTTATTAATCAAAAAATAATAGAAAATATGATACATAATTAGGTCACAAGTTTTCGAAAAACTCATTATTTACAATTTATTCTTATTCCAATGTTATAAAATGAAAATACAAAATAATTCAAATTCAATTCCAGTTTTCAGTTGTGAATGTAAAATAATCCGGTGAAGACTGTTTATGTCAAATCCATCACTAAATTCTCAGTGTTAATATCAATTCCTCTGTACAGATAATGATTTTCAAAACAATTGACAATTGTAAATACGTTTATTTACAATATTTTTTTATTTTTGTAGAATTTTTACTTATTTAAACATTCTTTAAACGTTCTTTTAATTTTGAAGAATTTTTACTTTATTTTCGAAAGTACGACGGCACTTTTTTCAATAAGATATTTATGTTTAACTTTAAACACTTCTAATACTAGTAACGACTGACGTAAATGTTCAAAAGCAAAATGATCTCTGCATAATTTCAAAAATTATTAAAAAAAAAAAAGAAAACACATGATGGTTTTAAACTCTAATCGTCGCAGTCGATCGTCTAGTCGTCTGCATCGCAGTGTCGAATTCTTACCACTAATCCACGAAGGATTGATAACAATTCCGTGACAAGAGTGTATGAAACTCCTCAAATCATAGTAGAAATTATTCTTGGTTAATAATTTAAAACTTTAGATTAAATAATCACTATTAATTAAATTATTTTATTCACACTTTTGCTTTATTGTGGTCAATCAGTTTTTCATTTATGCGAAATTAAAAAATGGAAATACGTCACACATACGACGTCAAACATAATAATTATGACCGAGGTGATTTAGCTCGAAGCTAACGTCTAAAGGTGTGAGACTATCAATAGTGGTAATGTAAATTATAGGTTTCTATCGATTATTTCCCACCTCTACGAGTTTCATCTCTTTTTAGTTCACAAGGTAACTGTGTTTTCTATCTCTTACGTTAAAATGCCGAATGTTAAAACACTCACCACTGTAGAATCGGCAACTAAAATTTTACAAAATTGTTTAACTCGGCTTGAAAATTGGACGTTAAAACCTGAGTTTAACTTCTCTACAGAAAAACAGAATACATAATTTTTAATAAAAACAGATCTCGGTATTCAACTAACCTAACTTTAAATAATTTATCAATAAAACAATCAGAGTTAATTTGTTTAAATTTAACTTTTACCACAATCTTAAATTGGAACTTGCATATCAACATACTACAACATTTCTGTCAATGTCAAGACTACCCTTAAAAATGCTTAAAAGTATTCAATTACAGCTTTAAGATTGGCACTTGGTGCATTTAGAACTAGTTCCACTAGTAGTCTAAAAGTTCTAGCTAAAGAGCCACCTCTAAACTACATTGCCATAATTACAATTCAAAAACAACACCCTCTTTTCTCTCAAATTTTTCACTCTGGCATCCTCCCTTTTAAAAAGACAACAAACTGTCTACCTCTAATAGAAAGAATAAAAGTCACACACTTTAACATAGATCAACTTAATCTATTGCTATATACAAATGCAATCTCTTACAAACTTCTTCAATACAAACTACAAAACAAAACAAAATACAAACTTCTTGATAATTAAATATCTTTTTGCAGACATTACATCCCATTGCCCCAACTACTTACAAATCTTTACCGACGCCTCTAAAACCCCAGATTGACATACTGCTGCTTACTATTCTGATAGAGAACTCCTATAGCATACACTTACCTACAAATTGTAGTATACTCACCTGCGAGACCACAGCTATATTAAAAGCCTGAACTTTTTTCAAAACGAGTGACACGATAAAGTGCGTCATCATTATAGATTCACTTAATGCGTTATTGAAATTAAAGCAAATTTATACAACAAATCCCATTATACAAGCAATAAAAAATGAATTAGAAATACTTCATTCCATAGGAAAGGACAGACCTTTCATTTGGTTACCATCGCACACTGAAATCTGGCCAAATGAAAAAGCAGATCAACTAGCATGCTAAAAGCCGTATCAACGTAGAAGATACTACAAAAATTACAAAATATCCTTATGGTGACATAAAACAGCTGATTAAAGTTCATTGCAATAACATTTGGCAAAAATACTGCGAAAATTAAGCAACCAAATTAAACCCAATATACCCAAAGTGAACAGCTCTTTGAATTGGTCATACTGCTGTCATAACAAATTTTTAATCAGTAATGATCTACCACCAATTTGCAACAACTGCTCCACTTCATTGACAGTGAAACACTTCTTGCTTGATTGCCCATATTTCCAAGATCAAAGAAGAATTCATGGAATTTCAGAAGACCTCAAATCCCTCCTGACAGATAAAAATTTAAATGTATTAAATTATTTAAGAGATATAAAATTGTATTATACGATTTAATGTATATAATCATATTAAAACTGTTGTGTTTGTCATCACAATAATATACCAGCGTGGTTGATGCGAAATAAGTGTTTTAAATAATAATAAAAAAACTATTGTTTTCCAGAAAACAGATATTTCCCAAGATAATTTCGTTGTTTTGTATATAGCTTAATAATTTTATAAAATGTGCAAAGTAAATATTATAGGTGTTACATATAGAAAGTGTGGGATCTTTTACCGCCTTTTTAAACCAAAATATATGATGGCAACAATTCCGAGATCATTTTTGTAGGATATACAGGAAGAAAGTGAGCAGTAAAAATGGCAGTAGGTCGTTTATGCAACAAAGAATCAATCGATATTTTATCGAAAATAGAGTTCTTATCGTTCTGATTCTAATATTATTAATCCTTTGTAACAACAAGTAAAAAAATTATTTTTCAAGATTAATCACTGCATATAAAGACTACTACGCTGCTATTTTTCAATTACGTTTAATTCGATTGATATAAATATAATAAGAAAAGAAATTTGCATAGTAAAACAATGTTTATTCGGATTAAAGTATACTACGTTTTTAGTACCATTGTGGCCACAGGTGTTGCAGCAAAACTAAAAAAACGTAAAAAAGTTACATTCAGTTAACATCCCCAGCACATCCCCATTTTTATTCAAATCTAATAGATTTAATCGAGGAGACAGATCAATTTAACGAAACTTGTTAAAACAAGATGTTGATTGTTAATGAAAAGTAAATTTTTAGGAATGACTTTTTTAGTCATATATGTGACCAAATTACTAATATCCTCACAATTGAAACAAAGTTTTTTGCTATTATTTTATACCTATATAATTCTTGATTTTCTCAAGGTTTTGGGGATAGGAATAAGAAATGATGAAGGAAATAGGAAATAGTGTGATTGATTTTGCAGTGGCATGAGATCTGTCTGTAATCAATACGTTTTTTATAAAGACTGGAGACCAGTATGTCACTTGTAGTAAAGGGGGAAGGAAAAGTTAGATAGATGTTGTACTGTGACAGTGTAGAAGTGATAAAGGATGAATGTAGGCTATTCAACACCGACCGGTGATAGTGGATACGGAGATATAAGGTGAGGCGGAAAAGAAAGCTAGTCCAGTGGTAGAAGTTAAAGGATAATGTTTTGGCAAAAGTATAGTGCTGGAACAGTTTGATATGATAGGTTTAAAAGAAAAAAAGATAAGAATAAGTAAAAATAAGCAAAGAGGGAAACAAAGTGCGCTGTAGTTGCTGCTAAGAAAAGATTGTCTGCACAGCTATATAAAAAGCTAGAAACACTAGAGGGGACGAAAAGGCTAAACAGCATTGGTAAAGCAAGGAAAAAGTTATCAAAGAACTTGACTCACATCCAACAGATTAGGAGTGCCGATGGAAGAGTGTTAAGAAACGATGTTAAAATAAAGCAAAGATGGTGTAAGTACTGTGGTAGTGTTGCTAAATAAAGAAAACCTGAGGACAGACAAAAGATACGGGGAGATAATACAGCGAAAAGGGAAACATGATGTTGTCAAGGCATTAAATAAGATGAAGAATGGTAAGGCAGTAGAACCCGAGGGATACCTGTGGAGGTTTGGAAGGTTCTAGAAGAGAAAGAAGTTAGCGTTTTGAGGCAAATGATGAGTAGGATATATGAGGAAGAAAGGATGCCCAAGGCATGGAGAGAGGGTGTAATGGTATCATTGTATATAAATAAAGAAGATATTCAGGACTGTAAAAACTATAGAGGGATAAAGTGAATGTGCATCAATATGCCGCACTTATTGATAATTTGGGACACAACTGTAGAGCAAAGGTTAAGGAGAGAGACATCGATAGGAGAAAAACAGTTTGGGTTTATGCCAGGAGGGAGGACAATGGGTGCCTTGTTTGCTTTAAGATAGTTGATAGAGAAATACAACTGGGAGAAAAGAGAGCTACATTTGGTATTTATATATCTTGAGAAGGCGTACGACACAGTTCCTAGACAAGAGCTGTGGATATGTCTGAGAGAGAAATGGGTTCCTGAGAAGTACGTCAGATTTGTGAAGAATACGTATGGAGGAGCCTAAACCAAAGGGAGGGCTTGTGTCGGATAGACTGAAAGTTTCTCAGTGACGGTTGGTTTGCGTCAAGGCTCTTTATTGAGTCCCTACCTCTTTAATCTTGTTATGGATGTAATGACAGAGATGTAATGGCTTGGTCGATGCTCTTTGTAAATGATATAGGGTTAGTAGAGGACAGCAAAGAAATGTTGGAGAGGTGGAGAAGGGCTATTGAAAGGGAAGGATTGAAGGTTAGCAGATCCAAAACGGAGTATATGTGGTTGGTAGGAGAAGAAATGCGGACATCAAATTGCTAGCACGTGTAGGAGAATTTTAATACCTCGGCTCCTACATAATGGATCATCGAACTCTCGATTGAAAAATTACCCACAGGATACAGGCTGGGTGGTTTAACTAAGCGGGGCTCTTTGGTTAACCTGAGGTAAGGCCTGAGTTGGTTACGGTGGTAAAGTATGGTCTATAAAGAGAATTCACGAAAAGAAGGTGGAAAGAGCCGTAATGACTACAGTCTCAAAAATGATCTAAGAACAAAGACTGCAATGGTTTAGCCATGTTAGACGTAGAAATAAAAACTATGTGGGGCGAGGGATAAAGCTGTTAGAAGTTGATGGAAGGAGAAGTGAAGGAAAACCGAGTAGAAGATGGAAGGAATGTATGGCAGAAGACTTTACAGAGAAAGGTTTAGGTGAAGAAGACCTGATGGACAGAAATGCGTGGCTAAGAAATTGGGTTATTCCCAATTATACGGTTGTACGGTTGATTCCTTGTTGCATAGCATGTATGCCACTATAATTTGTAGTTCATACTGTATTGTGCTATATATACAACAAAATGTGAAAAAATATATACAACATTAGTTATTACTTACGTTTTGAGACATAAAAGCAAAAATATATCTTCAGAATTCGTCACCTGTTTATAGTCTTATAGAATATTTCTACATCGATGACTTTTTCACCTTATCTTTATACCAATCAAGACACCGGAAATCGTACACCAATAATGCCATGTTTCATAACTTAAGTAACAATTTTCGTATTTTTTATCAACCACTTTAACTTCACTTACCCACTGTCCTAATGGAGATGATCTTACTCATCATCCCGTCTCCCAAGGCGTTCTTTCCGATGACCTGAAACTCGTACATGGTGCCTGGGGCTAACCTATTAATAGTGACAATAGTGGAACCGGGAGGCGTAACCGGGATAGTGGACCAGTCCGACGTACCCGCTTCCCTGTACCACATGGTGTACTCCTGTTTGTAGTCCGGACCACCGCTGTAGCCTGGCAGCCAGCTGAGAGTCACGGAAAATTCCGTAGAACTCCCGGTGAGGTTGTATGGGGCATGGGGTTGTGTTCCTAGGAATTGTGTAATGCATTAAATATACATAAAAGCTATAAAAGATCGAATATTGATAGAGAAAAGAAAATCCGATTAAATCAATTCGTACTGAGTCATTTATGGTACATATATAAGTATAGGTACATACAGGGTGTCCCAGACTAATTTACCCACGCTATCTCTTAAACGAATAGAGATTTTCGAATGGGACAAGAAGTGATCTATTCTACTTGTAAAACACTTTAATATGGCGTAGAAAAAATCATCCCTTAAATATTCATCCCTTAGTTACAACCCCTAACTTTAATTTTTTTAATAGCACCCTGTATATTTTTGTATAGTTTTAGATGTGATCTTCTATCGTCTATTTAACAAATTTATTAAAAATAAAATCGGTTTGTAAATAATCAAGAAATCAATTAATTTTTTATTTTTGTTAATTAAGTGTCCCAGACTAATTTATCCAGGCTATATTTATTAACAAAATAGAGATTGTTTAAAGGGTCAAAAACTGGTATATTTCATTTGTAATACACTTTAATATAGCGAAGAAAAAATCATCCCCTAAATATTTTTATTCCCTATTATTTTTTCTAGTTTTGGATGTGGTCTTCTATCGTCTATTTAACCGATTCTTTTTTAATAAAATGGGTTTGTAAGGTATCAAGAAAATATCAGTTTATTTTTTATTTTTGTTAAATTAATCAAGATTAATTAGATAAAATTAATCTTGATTAATTATCTTGCCTTAAAAAATAGAATAGAAAAGAAATATTATGCTTTATTATCACTGAAAATTTTACTATTATAACTACGTAGTATAACTTCTTACATACCCTTTTGATTCAAACATTATTTTTAATTTTTCAAAATTTGGTCTTTGTAGGAGCATACGTTATCTTCCAGTGTGCAAAATTAAGTGTGCAAAAATTAAGAAAACAATCTCTTATAATAAAGCCACAATATTTGAAAAACTTTTGCGGTTTTTTTACGTCTTGGATATTACATTACCCTTAATTCAGGTTGCCATGATTTGATGTGTCAAATTTATAATTATTATTTTTAACGTTTGTTATTAGACCAGTAATAATTATATTTGTTGTAATTGTGTATCTATAACATTTCAATATGCCCTATATATTTTCGCCCGACGAGTACGTTGATATTATTTTGATTTATGGAGGATGCCTAAAAAATAGGAGCGCCTAAAAAATAGGAGCATTTCCCGACAATTATATCAAAAAAGGTTTCCAAATCGAAACATTCTAAGCGAAAAAACCTTTAAGAATTTGGAACGCTTACTTAGACAGGGACATTTTCCTAATAATAATAGATGTGCAATTGAACGCATAGTAAGATGTAACCAAAACCTTATTAATGCACTAGCATATGTTAATTTTAATCCCAAGGTGTCTGTTAGAACCCTCGCCAGTGAATTTGGCATTCCAAAAAGTTCTGTGCATAGAATTCTCAAAGATTTTAAGTATCATCCTTTTAAAGTGCACCTAGTTCAAGGATTACAGCCTGATGATGACCAAGGACGTCTTGAGTTTATTGCAAAAATGATGTTAAAAATCAGTGATGATCCATTTTTTTATCAAAAATATTGTGGAGTGATGAGGCTAGATTTTACAATAATGGTGTTGTCAACCGTCACAATTCCAATTATTGGTCTCCCGTGAACCCACATTGGATGATGGAAACAAGATTTCGGAATATTTGGGGTATAAATGTGTGGTTGGCCATTTATCTAGTTTCAGTGACAATAAAGCATATTTCTTTTCTATTCTATTTTTTAAGGCTATCGTGATTAACTTAACAAAAATAAAAAATATACTGATATTTTCTTGATAACTTACAAACCCATTTTATTTAAAAAAAAATCGGTTAAATAGACGATAGAAGACCACACCCAAAACTAGAAAAAAATGTACAGGGTGCTATTAAAAAAATTAAGTTAGTGGTTGTAACTAAGGGATGAATATTTAGGCGATGTTTTTTTCTTCGCTATATTAAAGTGTATTACAAATGAAATATACCAGTTTTTGACCCTTTAAAAAATCTCTATTTTGTTAATAAATATAGCCTGGATAAATTAGTCTAGGACACTTAATTAACAAAAATAAAAAATTAATTGATTTCTTGATTATTTAGAAACCGATTTTATTTTTAATAAATCTGTTGAATAGACGATAGAAGACCACATCCAACACTATAAAAAATATACAGGGTGCTATTAAAAAAATTAAAGTTAGGGGTTGTAACTAAGGGATGAATATTTAGGGGATGATTTTTTCTTCGCTACATTAAAGTGTATTACAAATAAAATAGACCAGTTTTTGACCCTTTAAAAAATCTCTATTTTGTTAATAAATATAGCCTGGATAAATTAGTCTGGGACACTTAATTAACAAAAATAAAAAATTAATTGATTTCTTGATTATTTACAAATCGATTTTATTTTTAATAAGTCTGTTGAATAGACGATAGAAGACCACATCCAAAACTATAAAAAATATACAGGGTGCTATTAAAAAAATTAAAGTTAGGAGTTGTAACTAAGGGACGAATATTTAGGGGATGATTTTTTCTTCGCTATATTAAAGTGTTTTACAAGTAGAATAGATCACTTTTTGTCCCATTCGAAAATCTCTACTCGTTTAAGAGATATAGTGTGGGTAAATTAGTCTGGGACACCCTGTATATAAGTTTTTTCACTTCATTACATATAATTACGTAAAATACTACGAATTTCAAAAACCCATATTTCTTGACTTGAAAATGGCTTTTGACAAAATAACCATCAATAAAATTACATATACCTTCAACTACTAATTGCGTTCCCGTAATAATTGTAGCTACTTCGTTGGTGGCAACGCATTGATAAAATCCGAAATCTAAACGACGAATCGATTCTATAGTCAAATTTCCTCCTACAAGCTTTACGCGGTTCTTTGGCAAAGGTGTACCTGAAACAGAATATTACCAGTTGTCTCTTTGTGCTTAGAAATGTCAAAAGTCAACTTAGACCGATCAACAGACAACTAGAATTAATATAAATAGCTTACCGTCTCTCCTCTGCCACTGTATACCAGGTTTCTGTGTACCTTCAGCTTCTACGGCGTCACAAGGCATATCCACGGATTCTCCAACCTTCCTCTGATACATAGTTTCCGGTTCGATGGTAAATGTGGGAGGTTTTCTAACCAAAACTTCCATTTGGCCCGAACTTCCTTGCGTGCCTTGTGCGTTGTATGGTGTGCATGTATATCGACCCTTGAAATAAGATATTTACAGTTTACAAAGTTTGTCTTAAAATATGATAACAGGTCTATTCATTCTAAAAGATAAGTAGTTACATTCGCAGATTAAAAAAAAATAAAAAAATCATGCATTAAGGGGTTAAAATATTGCAATTGTGGATGTGTAATCGACAACAGAAATATCGTAGATATTAAAAATATAGATAAATCAGTAAAGTCTCTCACCTGGTGATTTTCGTTTACCCTGGTAAAAAGCAGCGAGCCGTTGTTCATTATGACGATATCTTTGGTCTGATAGGGTTCCAAAAGGCGCTTGTCTTTTGTCCACGTAACGTACTGCAGAGGAGGGTTGGCTTTTATATAACATTGTACTACGCCGGCTAGACGAAACGGTAGATACTGTATCGTTGGTGTGAAAGTGACTTTTGCTGGATCTGAAACAAACAAAAGAAGTACAAAATTTCATCTAAAAATTAACAAATTATGTTCTAACACGTACTTTACTTTATATTTACTTTTTATGTTGCTACACTTTATTACTTATCGTTACTATATAGTATGTGATTATTTATATAGGGCAAAGGCTGGAACAGTGGCCAGTCAGGTACAGCGGCCACTTTTAAATATTTTTTTGTTGTTTGATAGATATAGACGCTGCATCTAGTACAAACGCTAACAATTTTAGTCACAGTAGTCGCTTACTACGCTTGACCCCTACACCATCGTTTCCAGAACCATTTTGTATACGAATCTGTTGAGAGGTGTGTTGTATAGAAGTAGCAGGTAAGTTTAAACATCTGTTCAACCAATAATAATATACATATTAAATGTTCTGTATGATTTGTGGTATACAGTACAGTATTTAAAACTTGCAGGTGATGCAAATTATGATCTATCTTCAAAGTAGTAGATTTTAGGTTATGCCTCCTAAACAATGAGTTTTTGGTACAGTGGTCACACACTTATGCAGGCACAGTGGCCACTGCTTTTGACAAAAAAAGTGGTGGCCACTGTTCCTACATACGTTAGTAAAAAAGCAGTGAAAATACATCACGAAAAATACCAAAAAATCCCGGTATTGGAAAAACTACACATGAAAATATGAGAACAGCGATTTATGATGTATGGGAAGGTAGATTATCACAAAAAGCTGCTGATTTAAAATACGACATTCCACGCACTACGTTTAGGAGATATTTTAAAAGTGCAACGAAAATAAAAATAATATAGACTGGACTCTTGAGGGAGCTCCAAGATTGACTCCAAATTATGACATCAATCTAATTTTTTCCTCAACCGAGGAAAAAGAACTGAGTAATTATTTACAGACGATAACCAAGCTTAATCATGATCTCAATCCTAAAGGTACAAGACAACTAGATTATGATTTGGCAATTGCTAACAGGAAAAAAAATACCAACTTCATGGGAAGAAAACAAGATGGCAGGCAAGTTTTTGTTTACAAGTTTTATAAAACGAAATTCAGAATTATCCTTACGATCAGCAGAGGCAACTTCACTAGGTAGGGCAATGGGGTTTAATCGACCAGTCGTTGCAATTTTTTTAGTAATCCTAAGAAGATTTATGAAAAATATGCATTAACACCTTATACAATATTGACGAAACAGCACTAACAACTGTGCAAGATACAGGAAAAGTAATAGCCAAAAAGGGACAGCAACAAGTAGGCCATATAGTTTCAAATGAAAGAGGCACTTTGGTAACCATGTGCAATGCAATAAACGCTATAGGTAATTCGATTCCGCCGTTTTTAGTGTTCCCTAGTATTTTTTTAAAGATTATATGTTTAAAAACACACCTCCGGGTTCCCAGGAGTGTGCTGCCCCATCTGGATGGACATTTTGTCAAACATATTAATCCTTCAAAGGAATCTAATCATGGACAACCATGAGAGCCATGTTTCTTTAGCATCTATTAAATTGGCAAAAGAAAATAACTGAATCTTGTTGAATTTGCCGCCACATACTAGTTATCGCCTTCAGCCACTAGATAAAACTGTATTTGGTCATCTGAAGAAATATTAATCACATGGTTGTCAAAATTGGTTATTGAAAAATCCTGGATAGAGGATCACAATTTACGATATAGCAGAGATTTTGAGCGACGCTTAGCCACTTGCTTTCTATCTCTGAAAATGTCTGTTCTGTCTGTCTGTTCTGAAATGTGGTATCAGCTTTTAAAGCTACTGGGGTATTTCCATTCAATGATTTTCAAACATTTTTAATGACGATGATTTTATGGCTTCAACCGTCACAGACATGCCAAACATACATCAAGAAGAACAACAACCAAATAATTCAAATGCTAGCGATATACCACAAATGGACATTCAACATCAACTTGTCCAGATAAAATACTAGAAACAAATCAGAAACATCCATCGGAAATAACACCTGAAAATAAAACTGTTTCTTATGAAGAGATGGCAACTTCCAAGAACACACACAAAAATCGATTTATTTCTCCTATATTACTGCAACCATACCCTAAAACCTACCTAATTACCATTAAAAAACAAAGGAAAAAGAAGACTACTAAAATTTTAACTGATACACCAATTTATAAAAGAATAGAAGCGAAAACAGCAGAAAGAATATCAAGAAAGTAGAGTGAAGAGATCTAAGACAACAGTAAAAAGAAAAATTGATAGTTCAAACAAGTCGAATAGAAGTAATGCAAAGAAAACTAAAAGCATACCCAGTGATGATAGTAACAGTGACATTGAATTTGAATTGTGACGATGTTAGTCTATTTTCAGAAGTAGATGAAATATCTGACGAAGACATATCCTCACGAATGGTGGAAGTGAATTCATTTGTTCTCCTGAGGTTTCAAACAAAGAAAACTTCAAAATTTTATGTTACACAAGTTGCAGAAGTTTTTTCTTTTGGCCAAGAATACAATGTAAATTTTCTAAGGCGTCACGGAATACAGTTTTCATTTCCTACAGTTACAGATTCTGCCAAAATTACAAAAGAAGATGTTGAACTCATTTTAATCCAACCAAAAAGTGCTGGAGCAACACAACGAACAGCAAATTTGTTTACTTTTAAAGCGGATTTATCATGTAATAATATTTGTTAAAAATTAATATTACTTTTCTCTTTTTACGAATAATATAAATAAGAATATAAGAGTTGCACCTAATGAACACTGTACCTTACCTTTGTGGCCACTGTACCATCTAGTTTGGTACAGTGGCCACATTTTTTGAAAAACCAAAATTAGTTACCCCTGCATAACCTGTATTTTTTGGGATTACAGAGTACATTTTTAATTTACCAAGTGCTTTGATGTTGTTTGAGTTGACACTCATTAATATATTATGATTTATATTAAAGTTATCTTAAATTTACTTGAAAGGTGGCAACTGTATCAGCCTCTCCTTTACCCAACAATTATGTCAAATGTACTCAGAAAGTTGGAACAATTATTTTAAGATAATTTTTGATATATACGGATTGAAAACTTACATTCAACATTAAGATAGGCTGATGCGGATTGCGGCTCTCCGATCCCATTACTGACTTCGCACAGATATTGACCTGAGTCGTCGGAGCTGACCGGATTTATGACTAATGAACCGTCCCTTTTGATGGTCACCCTCGTCTCCAAAGAAGCCAGCTCTTTGACCGGAGCCCCTTCACGGAACCACTTCACGGTAACGTTGCCTGGCTGGGCCTTTGCTTCGCAATTGAACTGGACTTTTTCTCCTTCCAGTTTCGTTTGATTCGTCGGAGGGACCTGGAACGAGATCGAGTTAAAGCGATTTATACGAGAGTTAACAAATTGAATGGTGTGTCGTTAGTGGCGGGGCAAAGTGGAAATTTTCAAAATTGGTGCTTAAAAACACAAAATGATCGTAGAAACATAAAAAAATTCTGGTAAATTTTCTTTTATCAACAAATTTAAAGATTCCACTTTTATTACATTTTAAATTTCTGTAAACTTTTCTAAAGAGCTTAAACTTATTAATTTGAGCATTAAAGCATATGAGAAACATTTTTCTTCGTTGATTATAGAAAAACTTTCAATTGTGTAATGCAATAAACTTTTAACGAACCTACATTTTTCATTAGTTTAAAATTCTTACGAAATAGCTTTAATGTACAAAAATGTCTCATGAATATACTGTTTTAATTTATATATAATGAAACTGTATTATAACAGTCTCAACATAGCGGCATTATACCTCAGGAATGGCTTTTGTCTCACGCTCATTGCCACACTTAAAAATAGTAATGCAAAAGAATTTCGAAAAGTATCAAAAATTTGTAGCTTTGGACTTATTTAAAAGGTTAACAATTCTTGATCTCTTATATGACAAAGAAACGTTAGTTTCTAGGTGAGCGTTTATTAGAATTCTGCCAAGAAAATGACTTTAAATTACCAATACCTGGTTTCAATTTCCAGATGAGAAAATCCCCTCAAGATGTACAACAAGGTAGAATAATACGGAATAAAATAGATTAAATTTTAATAAACCACCCAATCTGAAACTAATACCCCGTCTGATATTAGTTTCAGAATCGGTGGTTTATTAAAATTTAATCTATTTTATTCCGTATTATATACAGACGGTAGGTATATTAGAAAATACAACAACGAGAAAATTATAAAAACTATAGAAGACAACAAAAGCATGAAAGCATTGAGGAGAAAAATGGAAAATGGCAAAAAAGAAATCTTCCAACTTCCACAAAAATGGGAATATTATCTCAGATAGACCAAGCATATTACATATGGTGGAAAGTTTCTATGAAACATTATATAAAAGTCAAGTTATTCCAGAGCTCATCGAACAACCAATACAAAAGGTACATAAAGTAGGATCGGAGGATATACCAGATATATCACCAGAGGAAATTCAACATGCTTTCAAAAATATAAAAAATAATAGAGCTCCGAGGGAAGATACATTACTGACCTTTTTGATAATGCTTCACGAAAAAATACATGTTATACTACATATACACATACTAGCTGTGACCAATTAGACAGGGGTCTAATTGTAATTAAGTACCTTGACCAGATCAAATCGCTACTGGGCTACTTAAACTTTTAGACTAGGAAAACATTACATATTTAACCACTTTCTTTAACAAAATTTAAAAGAAGGAAAGTACTAGGTTGGTGTACTGTTTATAGAATTACCAAAGAAAAGCAGGCTCACCAAAGCATGGACTTCAGACTAATCAGCTTAATGAGGCACACAGTTAAGATACTTTTACGAATTATATAAAACCGAATATTCCTTCTCTGTGAAAGTAGAATGGGTAATAAGCAATTTGGATTAAGAAATAATCTAGGAACTAGAGATGAACTATTTTAAAAGAGCATTTATGTTTGTTTCATCGACTTCGAAAAGAAATTGTACATGTGAGTACAACACGATACACTTTTCGATTGTCTGTAGGCAGCAGGACTTGGCAGGTCGTTGCTGTAAGACCACTACGAAATAAGACTACTAAAATAGTTATATTAAAACCAAATAGCCTCTATCAAAATTGGAAATTTATTCTGAAAAACTGCCCATTAAACGTAAACTACGACAAGGTTGTATTTTTTCACCCATTTTCTTCAACTTTTACTTTGAAAAAAATCTTTATTGAGACTTTGGATGAGAGACAAGAGGGAGTAAGTCTAGGCGGAGAAGTAATAAACAATATCTGACAATACAGTCGTTGACTGTAGATGACAGTGGAAAAGATTAATATAGATCAAGAATTGCGATCTCTTAATGGAGAGAAAGTATAAATTATTTTAAATACCTTTGGAGGCTGATTAAATGTAAATAGTGACTTTGATGAAGAGATAATAACCAGGATTGAAATATGACGTAAGGCTTTTATGACCTGGAAACCAGTTTTATGTAACAGAAACCTGTCGATACATATTTTCAAAAAGGTCTTAAAATGTTATGTGTCGTCGATCCTATTATATTGTTGTGAGAGATGGACATTAAAATTACAATGCTTAACAAATTAGACGCATTCGAATTGTGGTGCTATCGACGGATCCTAAAAATATCATGAGTTTTGAACACTTTTTATAAAGATGTTATTGAAATGATGAATTTAGAAAGTCCGCTCATAAACATCATAAAGGGGAAAAACCTGAATATTTCGGCCATATAATTAGAGGACTTATATACCATCTACTTCGCCTTATAATACAAGAAAAACTGAAGAGAAAGAAAGGGCTTGGTTGAAGAAACATTTATGGTTGCGTAATATGCTGGTGTGATTCCACAATAGAAGAATCATTTCGCGGAGCAGCCGATAGGCTAGATAGGTTAGATAGGGTAGATAGGTTTCAGGAAATTGTACACATGATGATGGCCAACGTCTGAATACGGACACGACACCTAAAGAAGAAGATCTCTTATAAAAAATAGTGCATATTTAATGCTATTGGGCAAAAGTATTTGATGGATCGACCAAAGAAAGCATCGGTCATATATTTCAAGTAATTAATTTAACAGTCTGAAGAGAGATAAAGATACAGAACTAACAAATAAAGAACTATTGTTACAAGTAATCTCCATAGATATTCCAGTTACAGATACTTCTTAGGATATCGTTTTCCTTAGAGATTCTTCTGTTGATGATGATTTGAGCAATGAATTTTAGCTTTAAAAGACTGATCCTTTCATTAAGAACATTGAGTTTAATTTTTATTTATAAACATAACTTTAAACTGGACTGTGAGATGCCCTACGGGTACCTATTAGATTAGGATAAGTTTCATTTCTATTTATAAGCATACATTCAAACGAATTCTTTCTTTACTGTCACGTAAGTTCAGGGTCAATATAAAAGATAAAAAAAAACGTCAAAACACAGTAGCTAAATCTGCTATTTCAGGTGGATCGATCGGAAGGTGAAGTCAGCGATATCTCCGATTCGTTAGAATATACCTCTTGCTGACGGGCATTATCTATACTTAATTTATTGTTGCTTTTATCTCAAAACGTTCGCTGATCTGTTGGTTAAGTAAAGTCACTAAGTGCATTAGAAAAAGCATCGATGTTCGAACTATTTTTGTTGACATATATTTTTGTCTTTAAAAATACCAATAGTTTAGTAGTATATGTATTTTATATATCCTCTATTGTTCACTGTACTCTACAAAAGCAACTTTTGAGACGATAAGGCTCTAGTACAAAGTATCGTTAGAACAACTACGGTGTTATTAAGATAAGTACCATGATTTTATTACTAATTTTAAGCTCTCGACAACGCCAATAAATATTCCCTTTGAATAATGCTTTAACAGAATGGAACATGCTACAGATCATTGTGGCACCTGTTTTTATATTTCTACTATTATATTCTAGTGTGTACTTTCCAATTCTGATTGTTGCGTTTTGTTACTCGAGCGTTAAAATCCCCCAATATTATCATCTTCCCTCTGGCTTGATATACTACTTGTTATAATTGGACATAAAACGTTTCCCTTGTTCAAATCATGAATGTGTTGCTTGTGTGAGTCCATTTCAAATAGGTAAAGAAATAATAAATAAGACTTACTCACAATCAATTTAATTTCACTATTCAGACGACCGGTTTCGCTTTTTACAATATGCAAAGCATCTTCAGGTCTCATACAAAGTTAAATAAATGCTGAAATGATAAAAACCCATATTAGGGTGCTGTCTAATAAAAATAAACAAATTAGATGATGATATGTATAAATTACAATAGATATGCCAATATTACATGTCTGTGGTTTTTTCAAAATGAATAAAATGAATAAAAATGTATAAAAGTTTAAACAGACAAGGTAAGACCCACAAATTGTTATAAAATAGTCGATAAACTACTGATTGTGGGTCTTACCTTGTCTGTTTAAACTTTTTATACCTTTTTATTCATTTTATTCATTTTGAAAAAACCACAAACATGTAATTTTGGCATAATTATTGTAATTTTTTTATTTATTTAGCGTATGGACTTTCACAGTACAATAAATATACAAATACACAGTACGATAAATTGTAATTTATAACATCTAATTTGTTTATCTTTATTAGACAACACCCTAATATGAGTTTTTATCATTTCAACATTTATTTAACTTTGTATCGAGACCTGAAGGTGCTTTGCATATTGTAGAAAGCGAAACCGGTCGTCTGAATAGTTAAATTAAATTGAATGTGAGTAAGTCTTATGTATTATTTCTTTACCTGTTTCCCTTGTTCTTTGAGTCTTGCTATTTTCTGTATGTACACCAATGATAATCACGTCTTCATTCTTATTGTTGCTGTTACAATCCTTTCTGATAGGTAATTAGACTCTTTGATGTGATTCTGGTATCTTTGACATATTATTAAAGCTACACCCTCTTTGGTCCTTTGGTTTTCTTTTGCTACTCCACTGTAGATTAGTATGTATTCACCTAATTTTGACTGTACAATAGACAGTAAATACATTAATGAACACAATCTTATCAAAACTTTATCGGCTATTCCCAAGTTGTATCAACATTTACAATTACAAAATTCCAATATCAAAACTTATATTTTATATCGAAAAATCAATTTGTTGGTTGTATTAAACCAGCAAATGTTAAAATACGCTTTTAAGATGTTAAAAACAGCTATTAAAGAACTAGAAGAAACAAAAATAAACGTCTCTAGTTTGTTATTTACCATAATCACTGCTCCCCCAGCTATGATAACTCTAGCAGTATGTGAAATTTGCCCTTCGCCATTTCTGGCAATGCAGGTGTAGTCGCCTATGTCTTCATGTCGGATGTTAGATATTCGCAGTTCTGTTCCATCATTAAAAATACCTGCAAAAAATAACATAAATAAGTTCTACTGGTCACCAGCTCAAAAAATCAGTTTCAAAACTGATTGCAATCTACAAGAAACCGAATATGCACGTTAAAAATATTAAATATTAAAATAGTTATCATCACAATTAATATGACAGACAACATAATTATATCGATTCCATCATATTTGTCACAACAGATTGGCTTGAAAATTTCGATTTGTGTTCCTCTTAGCTTCTACTTTAGTTTTGGACTTTGGCCCAAGGCTACTTTTAATTAGACGGGTGAAAGAAACCCTTTCTCAGATGGCTTTCACACTAAGTCAATACTAAGTTATTTGTGAGTAAAAATGTTCATTAAAAAAACACGTTTTCAGATGATTTTTAACAAATAACTGAAAAAGTAAGTATTTTATGGAAAAAAATGTTTAGCAAAAATGTAGCATATAAAACAAAAAAAAAAAAAAAATAAACAAAAAAAGTGTATGGTTTGTAGACCCAGTAGAAGCAAAGGCGTAGCTCATGAAAAGTAGGTTCTTTTTTTCAAATTTGTCTAATTCCAAATCGAATAATTTAGCGTAAAATAATCAAAAAATGAAGAACTTTTGAAGAAAAACCCATTAAAACCTTTTTACAGTGTTAAAAAGCTTTATTTTTGTTTTTTTAACAACTTTCTAGCATAAAATCTAAGTTATTTAAGCTCAAAATAAAAATGGTTCCTTTTTCTTGGTAAAAAATCGTAAAAATCACCCTCCTTATTAGCAACCTAAATGAAATGAATCGTTAACGCTTTACAATTTACCATAATAACGTATTATTGATATGATCTGTAAGTTTTGCCGGTTCAAAGTACTTATTGTTACGATTTTAAATGTTATGGCATATAGAACTGTAAATATTTTATGACTAATTCTTTTTATTGATTCTCGTAATTTGTAGGTCAAAAATATACCTGAGCTTAGCTACCAGTTGTTTACCAGAAATCTCTAGACACTAATTTTGGTGAATCATCCACGTCTCGAGGTTGAAAAACGAGTCGAGCGCCTTCACCAAAATACGAGACTATTCAAGAAGTCCGCCGAATTTTCTGGATGACACAGTTGTGTATATAAATGAAAGATTTTTATTGAAGAAGGCAGTCATAAGAAGATCGGTAAACGCGGTTTACTTGTACGAAACGTGAAATAAATACATTTGTAAAGTTGTTTAATAAATTAGTAATTAGCTATCGTGAGTTTTAATAAATTAGATTATAGACAATAAATTAGAATAAAGACATATAAATTCGAACTATATAAATATATAACAGTGGAGTCAGAAGTGAAATATTCAAATAAAAAAAGCGGGATTTTAAATAAATCTAATTTGAACTTTAAATAAAAAGAAGTGAAATATGACGACGATTTACGAGCTCACAGTTACGAATTTAAGAAGGCATCTTGAGGACAGAGAATTAGCTTCTACCGAAAAAAGGCTGAGTTAGTCCAACGACTAAAGAATGCTTTGGAGGAAGAGGGTTTAGATCCGGAAACTTATATATTTGAAGATGCTGTCATCGCGTCAATTTCAAAATTGGAGAATAAAGTTTCTTCCGATGTAGCCAAGGTTTCCTGTGATATCGCATCATTGGAGAATAAAGTTTCTAACGAGATCTCTTCCTTAGAAAGCAAAGTTTCTAACGAAATCTCTTCCTTAGAAAGCAAAGTTTCTAACGAGATTGCTTCTCTGGAAAGCAAGGTTTCTGCTAACATCTCTAAAGTCACCTCTGAGATGTCTGCCCTCGACGATAGAGTGTCTTCATTAAAAAACCAAATTGCTGCCGATATGATGGCCTTCGAAGAGAAGATATGGAAAGAGTTGGAAAGGAAGATTGAGGGAACAGACACAACAGAGAGAGTAAACAATCCAATTACCATAGAGACACAAGAAGACGAGACGAAATGTAAGTTAGAAACACGGCCGAAATTTGAAGGAAGCGGAGGTTATGTTCATGTCAAGGTTCCAACTTTCGACGGAAAATCGTCATGGAACAACTACATGAAACAGTTCGAATCAGCTGCAAGAGCGAATGGATGGTCTGAAAAAGAAAAGGCTGTAAACCTGACTATCGCTCTTCGAGGAGATGCCTTAGATGTGCTCCAGACCATAGCCGTAGAAGAGACGGATGATTTCGAACAACTGAAGAAGAGGTTAAATATGCGATATGGCCACGAACACTTAGAGCATGTATATCAGTCGCAGCTCAAAAATCGAAGACAAAAGAAAGATGAGGCTCTTCAAGAATATGAAGTAGATATTGCCAGATTAGTGCGATATGCTTATCCAACAGCTCCCGAAGACATGATGGAAAAGTTGGCCGTTCAAACGTTTATTGATGGTCTTCGTGATCATGAGATGCAAAGAACACTACGATTAGCTCGTCACAAGACGCTGGTTGATGTCTTATCCGCCGCCCTCGAATACGAGTCAGCTACGCAGGCCTCTGGCGGTTACAGTAAAGTTAGGACTGTAAAAGAGGAAGAAGATGAAGATAAACTTGACCAGCTCGTTAATATGATGAAAAGCATGACATACAAGAAAACGAAGACCATAAGATGCTGGAATTGTGGCGAAATAGGACACGTACGAAGTTCATGTAAGCATCCTAGGTACGACACAAATCAAGAAACTCACCATCAGGAAAACTAGAACGGGTCGGCCTTAGGGGGGCAGCTTCGACCCAGAACTCTTCCAAAGACCCTCTCATACTAATAGCTTCTTTGAAATGTCGTGAAGATAGTGTATATGTAGATGGAGAAATAAATGGTAAAAAGCATACGTTGTTGGTGGATACGGGAGCGACCAGAAGCATTATTCGCCCGACAGTTATAAACAGCCGTAAGAAACTGTTACCAACGAGGTTGCGACTGCGGACCGCTACAGGTGAAAATGCTAACATTCATGGAGAAATCCAGGTACAATTAGGAATTGGAGCAGAAAAGTTCGTCCATACTGTTATAGTTGCTGACATCGAAGAGGATGTTATATTAGGAATGGACGTAATGAATACGCATGGATTCCAATTGGATTTTAAAAATAAAGTAATCAAAGTTGGTAACGAGGAGGTATTTCTCCATCCACATGATGACAACACTATGCAAGCAGCCGTTAAAGAAGATACAGTCGTGCCTGCGAGAAGTGAAACGATAATAGTAGCGCGGCTACAGGGAATTGTGGACGAAGGAACACCTGTTATGATGGAGCCTTGGAATCATGACGACGAAGTTGGCCGTGGAATCATAATTGGAAAAGAATTAGTGACTTCGGCTAAAGAAATTCCTGTGAGACTTATTAATGTCAATGACTACCCAGTGACCATCAAGAAAGAGACAAAAGTAGGAACTTGTGTACCTGTCACATCCATAATCCGTCAGACGACAACGTCTGATAATTCCAACGATAAATTTGATCAAATGGTTGCGGTTGCTGGACAGTCTCTGAATCAGATTGAGAAAAGGAAATTAAGGGAATTTCTTCGGCAGTATCGTGATATTTTCGTACCGAAAGGAGGAAAGACGGGAAGAACTACCGTTGTTAAGCATAAAATTGATACTGGTAATGCTAAGCCAATTCGTCAAACAGCTCGACGATTACCACAGACGAAAAGAGAGGAAGCTGAAACGATTGTTCAGGAAATGAAGAAAGACGGGGTGATAGAACCTTCTACGAGCCCATGGGTCTCTCCGGTGGTCCTGGTTAAGAAGAAAGACGGAACAACGAGGTTCTGTGTGGATTACCGTTTGCTGAACAACGTTACCAAGAAAGATAGTTATCCTCTGCCTCGGATCGATGACACATTAGACACATTGGCTGGAAGTAAATTATTTTCCACTTTGGATTTGAAGTCTGGATACTGGCAGGTAGAAATGGACCCGGTAGATAAAGAAAAGACAGCCTTCACCACAGGATCTGGATTATGGCAATTCAACGTTATGCCATTTGGACTTTGTAACGCTCCTGCGACATTTGAGAGGCTTATGGAAAATGTGTTGAGAGGGTTATCTTGGAAAACATGCCTAGTTTATCTAGACGACATAATCGTCTTGGGGAGACATTTGAAGACCATCTGAAGAATTTAGAAAACGTTTTTAATCGACTTAAAGCTGCCCAATTGATGTTAAACCCCAAGAAGTGCCAGCTATTTCAAGGTAAAGTCAATTATCTGGGTCATATAGTCAGTAAAGAAGGAGTGGCCGTGGATAAGGGAAAAATCGATTCTATTAAGGAATGGCCAAAACCAACTGACAAACATCAAGTGAGAAGTTTTCTGGGACTGTGTACTTACTACCGGAGGTTTATTAAGAAGTTTGCAGATATCGCGAAACCATTAACGCGACTTACAGAGGAAGCAAGAGAATACCGCTGGGATGTAGACTGCCAGAATGCCTTTGAAACCTTAAAAAAGCATTTAATCACAGCACCAATTTTAGGGTATCCACTGCCAGAAGGAGAGTTCATCTTAGATACAGATGCAAGTAATGTGGGAATTGGAGGAGTGCTGTCTCAGATTCAAGGAGGACAGGAAAGAGTCCTTGGATATTTTAGTAAAGTTCTCTCAAAACCTGAGCGAAATTATTGCGTCACGAGAAGAGAACTTCTGGCAGTAGTGAAATCAGTAGAGCACTTCTATCAATACCTCTATGGAAGGAAGTTTTTAATCCGAACCGACCATGCCGCCCTTAAGTGGTTAATGCAGTTTAAGAATCCAGAGGGTCAGATAGCCAGGTGGATCGAACGACTCCAAGAATATGATTTTAAGATTGAGCACCGGGCCGGAGTTAGCCACCGAAACGCTGATTCTCTTTCCAGAAGGCCATGCCCAGCAGAGTGTTCTCACTGCAACAAAACGGAATCCAAGGAAGCAGCAGTGCTAAGAACGACGGTGGTTCACGACGACTGGACGCCTACCAAGATCAGGGAAGAACAAGAGAGAGATTCAGTTATACAGAAAATCCGAAAATGGAAAGAGGAAAACCG